TGCCAAAGTCGGACTGGCTCGCGTTGGCGCCTCGTGTGCTGGCGGCTGTCGTGGAGTGGGCGCTGGATGCCGTGGGCTGGCGATGTTCGTTAAAGTATTGGGGTTCGTGGGCGGCGATTCGGCTATGGAGGGCGGCTGTGAGGAAGGGAAGGAAGCGGTAGTACGAGTTGGTGATGGCCTCGGCGAGGGTGCCGTCTTGCCATGAGGCGACGTGCTTGTAGTCGACGTAGAAGGTGGATAACGAGTAGGTCCTCATGCCGTGGATCTGGGCGACGTAGTACTTGTCTGTCGTGACTGCGCTCGAGGTTGGTTGGCCGGACGAGGTGGGTGTTTCAACGTAGCTGGCGCCGGTGTCAGCAAGTGCACCAAGTGGTACATGTTTGGCTGGTTTCTTGGATATTCATACCCGTCAATGAAGGCCTCAAAGGCTCTCTGGACCATGACACCAATCCTATCCTGAACCCTGGGAATGTCGGCAATGTTCCGAGGCCTCGAGCGGACGGGGACCTGATCATCAGCGAACCCTTCCTCGCCCTCATCTTCGCTGGCCGCTCCGAGGCTTTCTGAGGGGGGGCCTCGTGGGCGAGCTGAAGAGGAACTGGGATGACCGTTTCGCGCCCTGGGAGTTGCTCCTCCTCGCGAAGCGATTCCGTCCGACATCATGAAGCCAGCATCGCTGGAGTGTGCCATTGGTGTTGCCATTGTGATGTGGTCCACCTGGGTATCAAGGGTTGGTGGATATTGGTATTTGTCGAGGTCAAAAATCAAGTAGACGTCGATGAAAGCCCAGGGGACCAAGGACTCGTCAGTGAATGGAGGGGAACTGAGTCCTCCCTGTCAAGAAAACACGATAAAACACGCGCCAGAAAAGCTGAAGCGCGCCAAGACCAGGAAGCTGGCGCGCACAAGTGGGGCCCTCTTTAATGGCTTCGCTAGTGCGATATGGACGGGCTAACTGCATACTACCCGCCTTGGACTCCAAGAATTCAACCTCTAGGTTATATCGCCGAAAGCGATACACTTGCTGTAACGAAGCATCGCCATTCGACTGTGTTGATACAACAACCCGACTTGCCCTCAGCTATAAAGGAAAAAAACCTCCTGGTAGAAGTTGTCTATCATGATTTGAGTGATTCCAGGACTTTCCTGCTGACTGAGGCTTTTTGCGATTTTCTCCCAATTATTCCCTTTCCATTTATTCTTAAAAATCCTCCAGCAAGATGCTCCTTCCTCACAAGCCGTTGCAAAATGGGTGATGCTCCTTCCATCCATTGAACAACTTCTTGTGTGTATCGACGAAGCAAATTTTTCTCGGGTTGACGCCCTCTTCTGTCGGCACTCTTCATCAAGTGCCACACAATTGTCGTCGCTCCCTCGGTTCCTCGAATGCAGTGTTCCCTCCCACATCAACCAAACTGTCAATCGCTCTCGTCCAATTCCTCAGCCTTTGTTGACATCCATCAGCCAGCATTGCCATAGCATTTTGCCATTAGAACCGGCCAGCTGCCAGGCCAAGTCCGCCATGGTCATCTATAACATCCGAGTTACGTATGTATGTCAGGCAAGGTACAACACAGGAAGATGAGTAAGTGAGGTCGAACCAGTCAGAAGTGGTCCGACCATGCTCGGTCCCAAACTCCAACATCCCCGAGACATACAGGCTGCAGTGTCACCACAGCTTCATCTGGGCTGATAGGCTTTAGCCGAGAGCATGCCAGCCCTTCACCACCCACATCAACCCACGGCCAAGAAGACCATGTCCTTGCTTGACGTGACGACCTTCTGCAATCTGGTATCCGCCTTCCCCTCCTCCGATCAGATCTCTGGGCTGAAACACCATGTGGGTGGGCAGCGTGGCAGCGAACCTGATCTATCTTTGGCATTACCCCCTTCCTGACGTCTCAGCTTCTTCTACCACTCCACAAACCAACAGCACCGTCAGGTCAGATAGTCTCTTGATATCAGAATGACTTGACAAGCGAAACAAAGACACTCTCAGCTGACTCGGCCAAACAAAGCTTTGTGTCAGACAATAGCGTACCTGGGCTCGCATCCAGTCAGTCAAAAGCCCAAGATGAACAGCAACACAGATTTCACTCAGCTATGGCATCGCCATCTGGCCAACCTCCGCCATGACTTTTCGACTGGAGCTGTTGACAACGTTCGTGTACAAGCTTCGCCTTTGGAGCCGGCAAGGAGCGTGGATGGCAGACGAGACAGTGAAGCTACGCCCAGGGATGCTGATTATCATGATATCCAAGCGACGTCGCTCCCCGCTGGACTCGAGTGGGATGTAGACATAGACATGGTGATCGATGCTTTGCAGGAGCTTGAGGTGTAAGTACAGCCAACCTGACATCTGATTCCAAAACAAAACGGCTAACGGAGATCTGCAACAGTCAAAGCCCTATCACCGCCACCGAAGCCCTCAGCCCCGATTCACCGTGGTTCAGAGACCCTCATCTCCGCCGTGATGGCGATGGTGATAGGGATGTAGAGATTGAGACTGTGGCGTCGTCACCTCAAAATTCAAGCTGGTCGAGGACCGTCGCGCCTCCGAAAGGACAACGAGCCCGTTTATCTTTGCAACTGCAACCACCGAAAAGCCCGGTCAGCCTCTACACGTCTGCGCCTGCTGAGGGACTTGATACAAATGCTAGAGCACGGACAGACTGGTACAGAGATCATGCAACACTCCTCTCGCACTCTCAGCAGCTATACGAGACTTACTCGGCTTATCCAACATCACCAGGTTTCAGCACCGCTCGACATGAACCCGAGACCGAACCACCAGAACCAAAAACCAGGTTCGGCTCCACCTTCTCGCCCTCCCAGCGCAGTCGGTACGCACAGCTAGCCGAAGTAGTCAACGTCTTGATCCTCAGCTGGGCTACGACAACCACAATAATAACCGCCAAGCAACAAGGGCCAATCAAACTCAGTTCAAGTCGGCAAGGGATCAATACCTCCACAGATTCTGTCCGAAACTGCTTCAAACGACTCGGATATCGAGTTCAATGCCGACTGATTCCCGAGGACTATCCCACTGCGGCTGTGGAGACCATTCTGGCCAAGTTTCTCGCGGACTCTGACATGGGCCAGGAGAGGAAGAAGTTGCTAGTCATTTACTACGCTGGGGGAGCGGGCATGGTTGGAGGAAGGATGGTGTTTGCGAATGCGATTGGCTCGAGTCATTTCTTCTGGGAAGACATTCGCGAGCCCATCATGTCGAGTGAGGGTGACGTCTTGCTTATCCTTGACTGTCATCACTCTATGAGGTCGAATGGGAGCACAGAAGCAGAAGATCAACTGATGGTCGACCCGGGCCTGGCATCTTCACCCTTCGTTAAGCAACTCTTGGGCGCCTACGTTCCTGTTCCCTTGCCCCGAACAGATACACCCAACAGCAGCTCGAATGGGCGCATCACAGGAGCAACGCAAATGACCCAAACCCTTTGCAGGATTCTGGACAGCGCCTACGCTAGAGGAGACGGCAAGATATCAGTGCAGAGGTTGTGCTCGTGCATGAAAAGTGAGTTGCGACAGGACGGAACGGAACTGGATCAAATGGTGTTTGTTACGCAGTTGGGAGGAAGACACTTGATGGATATCGAGTTGCCTGTGTTGTCTGCCGGCATCGATATCGGCGTTAGAGGTGGCAATGACGTCGGCGGCGGTGTATCGCGGGGTATGGGAGTCCTCCGAGGTTGATATCACCGGGGAAGCATTCAACTACACCTCAACTTGGGTAAGTTTAGTCCCATTCGAGAGTTTTTCCTATCCCTGGGGCAATCACACACAGGCAGCTAGCGTGTCTGCCTGATCATCTCTCCCTCCAATCGCTGACTTTGGATAGTCTTCCGTCTGGTATGGGTGTTGGTGATGGAGAAGCAACAACCTGGCCTAGTCTCCGGCACAGGTGTGATATATCCCTGGGAGCTGAAGACCCTAACTCCAATGACACCCAATCGCTTTCCCTTTTGGAGATTTTCGGCATTTGCTAGCGTGTGCTCCATATTCCTTATTCCCGAAGCGGTAAACCGATGGAATATACGACATGGAGATTTTCGAATTAGACCATGTCGATCGACTTCCGCCTCGCCAAAGGACGTTCTCGTCACTTCTTCGTCACACGTCCCCATCGTGGGAAGCGTGTTTTCAGCGAGGCATGGGAGCGCCTGCGTGGATCCTGCAAGGAGCACTGAGATTCCATTATGTTCGGTTTTCCATCAGAGAATGTGAACGGCTACATTAGATCCCGAAGTGAACCCCAGCTACCCGCACGCTCAGGGTATGCAATTGGCAACAATGACAGACATTGTCTCTGCAGGACTCCACTGTATCAAGGGGTCTTCATCTGTCAAACTCGAAACCTCACCTTCTTCATCAGTATCGCCGTCATAGTCAACAACCCTACGGGCTTGTGTCCGAGCCCACGTGCCGAGGCTGCCGCGAATAGCGTCAAGATGATGAGCCTCAAGACGTGCCTCATGGCCACCCTCGTTTCTTCTTTTGTGCGGGGCTAGCCGTTTCCACCATTGTACGGTCGCAAGATGGACGATAAGGCATTGCATCTGTCACATTCGTTGATGCCTATGGGTGTATGGCCTTGTCAAGCACTCCAACATCACTCGCCCCCGCTTTTCCTGGATCAACCCATCTTCAGCTTGGCGATGCTGGTCAGTCTCTGGCTTCAGTTGTCATGTCCACCCATCTAGGATAATGCTCGGCACGAGGACATGGCGATGTAGATGGAGCGTTGTCCACATCCACTAGCTTCTGTAAAGTCGCAAATCAGAGCAGGCTGGGTTCTGGATTATCATGGTCGATATTGTGGACACCATCAAAGGGCTCAGCCTTTGGACTCATCACAGACACACATGACACTAGTAGCTGTTGGGGCGTGATATCGTCAGCTTGCAGCTTGAAGGTCAAGGTTGTGATATGGAAAGTTGAAAAGGAACAAGAGAATGACGAGACGTGTGCAAGGAAAAGATATAAGACCGCTGTCTTTCTATCCTCAACAGCTTCTGGACACCATCATCAACCTCATCGTTCCCTTCTAGCAGCATTCCACATTCTGCAACTCATCATGGCCCCCTCTATTCAGGAGCTTTACCATGACTTCGTGGGTAATGATGTACCCAACGCGAAGCACAGAAGATCGTCCTCATCCTTCGACCCCAACGACATCTCCATCAACGCTCGTCCATGCGACCTGGGTCGTGTTTCTGGCCTTGTCGATGACATTGCCTCGTACAACTGGGGCGACATTGACTTTGCTCAAGACCGCAATGCCCGTATCTCCTTGCTGTCCAAGGCTCGATCTTTGATCGCAGCCCTTGAGACCCCAAGAGAGACTTTGCTGAGGCATATTGGTGCCGAGGTATGGCCACTACGTGTCCTAATTTAGTCAAAACACCACTAACCGACATTGCAGACCTCCAATTTCTACACCATCGTTATCGGCATCGAAACCAACCTCTTCCACGAAATGGCCAAGGACAGCGGCTCTCCCAAAACCGCCACCCGTCTTGCCGAAGCCATCTCCTTCGACCCGGATCTCATCCGGCGCATCCTCCGCCACCTGGCCTCCATGAACCATATTATCCAAACCGGCGAAGACGAGTACCGCCCCAACAACTTCTCCAAAGCCCTTACCACCTCTCCCATTGCCGGCTCTTACCAGTTCTATCGGAACATTTGCCTTCCCGCCATGATCAACCTACACAAGTGGCTCAAGACCAAATCCTACCAATCCCCCACAACCACCATCGACAACCCCTTCACGTTCGGACATCAGACTTCCCAGACCTTCTTTGAGGTGATCGGTTCAACTGCAAAGAACACCGAGCACTTTAACGATCACATGGTTGCCTACTGCCAGGGCCAACCAGCATGGTGCTCCAACAGCGTCTACTCAGCCGCCGACCGTCTTATCTCGGGCTTTGATGCCTCTCCCCAGCCAGACGGTTCTGACCCAGTGATGCTGGTAGACATTGGCGGTAACGTCGGCCACGATCTCCAGACTTTTGTTTCCCATTACCCTTCCCACCCCGGCCGGCTGGTGCTACAGGACCTCCCCTCCGTCATTGCTGTCGCTCCCCCGTCTCTCACTTCCCCTCTTCTCAACGGGAAGTACGTCCAACTTCAAGAACACGACTTCTTCACACCTCAACCCGTCGTCGGTGCACGAGCGTACTACCTCCATCACATCATGCACGATTGGCCGGACGCCAAGTGCGTTTCCATCTTGAGTCAGATCAAGAAGGCGATGAAGCCGGGGTATTCGCGGCTGTTGATCAACGAGCAGGTCATACCTGAGAAGAAGGCAAGTTGGGAGGCGACGTATCTGGATTTGTACATGATGGTGCTGTTTGGGGCTAGGGAGCGGACGGAAAAGGAGTGGCTGCGGCTGTTGGAGGATGGATGTGGATTGAAGGTGTTGGGTATGTACGGACCGGGAGGAGGAGTGGAGGGGATCATTGAGTGTGAGGTTGCATTAGAGGAGTAGTTTGTGAGGTATGAGGTATGAGGTATGATAAATGGCTGTTGGGGGAAAAGATGAACAAAATGCAGGAAGAAAGAATAGTGTTTTATCTCAAACCTGCGTATTAGTCTATGAATCTGTTGGGGCTGCATCTGAATCAGTCTTTTCGGCTCAACTTTCTACGCCCCAGTGGAAAATTCATATCGTTACGATCATCAACAAAGTGCCATTGCGCCTCTTCAAAATGTCTCGGACAAGCTGAGAAGACATTTGGCACATGCGAAAAAAAAAAAAAAAAAAAAAAAAAAAAAAAAGAACAGCAGTAAACCAAAGCCCTTGGTAGGGAGCGAAGACAGCAAACATCGATCCACCCAGGGGTCGAACCTGGAACCTCCTGATTCGTAGTCAGACGCTCTGCCATTGAGCCAGCGGACCTTTAATTTGATGAACAAACGATTCAAGCAATCGGTTTAAGTTTGGAGAATACAGAATGTCAGAAACTGTCACTTTGAAGAAGAAAAACTTTTCTACTACCCGGGAGACCCTGTCTGTCATTGTCCAGTTTGGCTCCACAGATCTCCAGGGCCGGCGGGTCCGTGTGGCGGGAACTGTGGAGCTATGGAGCAATAGTGGATCACTGGTCTGGAACATCCCGCGGTAAAACTGGAGAAGAAGAAAAAAAAAAAAAATTCTGAGAGGACAGACGCCCCATGTTCAAGAGGATATGTAAATGGACGAAAGCAATGAAAAATATATCAAATCACCTCAATACGGTCCGCTGGCTCAATGGCAGAGCGTCTGACTACGAATCAGGAGGTTCCAGGTTCGACCCCTGGGTGGATCGAGGATTATCGGGTAGCTATACCTGATCTTTTTGATTTGTTGCTTTTTAGCATCGGCCCAAGACAAGCGCAAGACTGTGTGTCGTCGAGGACACTCCTTCTTTTTTCCACCACCACACTTTGAGATTGTATCCGGACATCTTGATTACTTTTTGAATGTGAAAAGCTTCCATTTTACAATCCATTAGTTTCCTAGCTGTAAAAGTGCCTGCAATTTTCCATCATCAAACCCACCATCACTCATTCCCGTAAAAGAACCTCAAAGGACCAAAGCAATCAAACCAGCCACTAACCCAAAGATTCCCCTACTGGCACCAACAACCACCGCCCCATTAGCAGCAGGCGGCGCACTCGAAGCAGCCGGCACTCCACTCTCGCTCGTCACCGTATAAGTCAACGTTCCCGTACTAGTCACCACCGTCCCCGTCACACCTCCCACCGCCCCAGTCGTAGTATCACCACTCCCAGTCGTTGTATATGCAGCAGTAGCAGCAGCAGGAGGACTCGACACAGTAGGTGTCGATGCAGTAGGTGGAGACGGCGGCGGCGGCGGCGGAGGAGGAGGAGCACCTTGTCCATAACCATCACTCCCCTGTGGTCCTGTCGCCGTCCCAGTACCGGTGGTAGAAGAAGAAGAGGAATCACCACCATACCAAGCGGCATAATCCGGATTTTTGAGCAGTTCGCCGCCGAACGGTTTAGAGGGGTCAGGCGGGTTCATTTTGTCAAAGGGGAAGTCGCCGTCGGGCTGGGCGGCGGCTTCGCGGGCGGCTTGGTCTTTGTATTGGGCTAGTTGGTCGGGAGAACCGTTGACAATGCCGATCATGCCCTTTGAGCAGTGGGCGGGGGTGGAGCAGTAGAAGGGGAAGGGGGCTGTGGAGCCAATGGTCACGCGGAAGATTGATGGCTGTTTTGTTGCTGGGGGTTAGTGATGTGTTGAAGGGGAGGGCATAGACGAGAGGAGGATAGGTGGATGGATGGATGGATGGATGGAAAAGGGGGGATGAGAAGAATAAAAAGATCAAAACAGATGAAAAAAGGAAAAAGACATACATTCTCTTCATTACTCTTCGCCGGCAAAAACCCCGAGAAAAACCGTTCCTCGGTATCCGCCGTCGCAGGCTCGCACGGGTGGTCAAAGGAGCCCTTGACGACCGAGTTGTTGCTAGGCAAAAAGTGGAACTCGAGGATATCGCCCTTGTTGGCGGTGATGATCTCCGGGCCAAAGACGAGCCCGTCCGCTTTGATGACAATGGTTTCGGCTGTTACTACCCGCCCAAAAAGGGTGCTAGCGAGCATGGAGATAATCCATGTCGCGATGTGACTGTCAAGAGATAACATAAGTAATTGAGTTGGGATGTAGATGAGCTGGTGGGAACTGGGTGAAATGTCTCGCTGAGTGACTGAGGATGAACGAGTGTCTGGGGTTCAGCTAAATACAGGACTGGAACCAGGAGAGACTGGTGAGGGAAGCGAGAGACCTGGAGGGAAAGGGTCCGGTGAAGGGGCGAGCCGGACCTTAAACCACCCAGTGTCATATACTGAGGAGTGATGCTGTCTACTACGACCTCCTTCGACGGCCTTGCTCCTCCGTTCTTTCGTCTCGAGCCAAGCTGGCTTCGTTGGCCCTGCAGCGAGCGTGAGTGACGGTGGCACCGCTGACCGTTTGTATCATATATGAGGTGACATAAACAGCCAACGCCGACATCATAATGGTCTCTTGTTCTCTGTTTGGGAACACCTAATCACATGGACTCGTTACGCAGGACTGTCGAGACGTCCCACTGTGGCCAATGGTGTGACTTTAACGCTGGTAAAAGTCTTGCACAAGGAGGCAACCGAGTCCGCGAGTTCATGATTGTTCCCGTCTCTTGGTTGTGCCAGCTTTGGTGTACAATGGACGGGTAGGAGATCTAGGTGGATATCGTGGGAGATGAACTGAGAAGCGGTGGTAGGAAGGAACATGATTTTGGAATTGTGAAGAAACCTCTGTTTACCAGATATTAGCAATGAACGTAAAGACAATAACAGCCGTTTGTCAAGTTTGGCTTATTTTTGGGTCTTTACCTGCCCACAGGTGTTTCCAGGCTTAAAGTGCTGGTGATATCCGAGGGTTGCCTCTGTCTTGTACCTGCAGTGTCATTGTCTGAACAAAGGACCGAACCTCATCGTTCGTTCCTGAAACAGTTTCATCCAGGTATCACGGCATGAACGATTCACGGGTGTTTGCTTGGACAGCATGCTCGACCCTGGCGAGGGAGTGATGTCGCACCCAACACAGCGTACAAGGCAAATTTGCGCTTGTGTTTTTGTGTCTCCAAACGGGCCGTCCGTTCACTTTGAGTTGTCGAGTCTTTTTTTCGGCGTAATGGTGCCACAATGAACGAGCGTTCGTACTGGCGAGATGTGTGCCCGTTCGCCGTCTCGTCCTTCATGCCAGGTAGTAGGAGCAGACAGCCACCATGGCCATCACCACTAAGCTGCCTAGAGGCACAGCCTTTCCCAAGTTAATGCTCAAGTTATTGGAGCATTTAACAGGGAAACTAAGTTCTGATAGGTATCGGTCGATGTACCAGGCTCGGGCTGAGGAGATATCCAGGGAGCCATGCTATGGACTCGGAAATCGGGAGTGGGCTTGTAGGCGGGATGGTGAGGTGCGTTTGGCGTAGGCTTCGGGTCTGTTTCGGTGTCAGCTGTGGCACTTGAGAATGTGGTAGCTAGAAATCTCAAAGGCGGTGGGTTACCAAGCAGGCCGAACGGAATCGCGTTGGTTGTCTTTTTCCATCTCGAGGCGAAGGCTGGGGACACGAAGCCGAGTAGCAGTGGGATGTCCATTCGAGGCATCAGATGCTTATTGAACGTCGGTAGATCGATTCGTTCGATTATGGCTGCCATTGGTATGATGGTGCCTCTCCATGGTGCGGCAGCTGTTGTCTCCATCACCAGGAGCAAAATACCAACAATAATCCGGAGAGTTGTTCGTTGGTAGGAAACGGGTTAGCAGCCAGTTACAGCACTATCAGGGATTACGCTAAATTAGCCATGTGTAAGATAGTGCACCATCTAAGTACCAATTGTTGAGTTCCTGCAAACAAATGACCCCTCTTGACCTCAACACCGAAACCTTTCACCACTCTGCCAATTCCAGACTTTGACCATCCCACCACCGTCGCTGACTGCCGAAAAACACCCTCGGCCAGTCTTTCGCCAGTGTCTGCCAAGACAAAGACATCAGCCGCCCCAACTTTCTCCCTTTCGTCGCATTCTCTGCCGTGTCCGCAATACGCACCCCCGGATTCCCTTCCCGAGCCGGTAGATCAACAAGGTCGCCCTGACGAGCTTTAAAGTGGCCTCGATACCTGCCCCGCTGGCTAAACATCGCTACCCGATTCACAAAAGATGGATCCGCCAACCGGGTGATCTAACGAGATGACAGCCGGCCTCGACGAGCAATATACAACACTATCCCACCTCGTACGATCCATCTGTTCCCCGATAAATAATTTCTCTCGACTACTCTTGGCGCGAAATGTTACCATGAAGGACGCGCGGTCTGCCCGGAATCCGGAGCGACGATATGATGGGAAAAGAAGGGAAGTGGCCTCAATAGGGCTAATATAAGGATGGAAGATTCGGATAATCCCCACGTTTAGTCTGCTCGTCAGTTCCCCAACCACCGCCCAACATGAAGTCCTCGTACCTGTTGGCCAGCCTTGCCTTGGGCTCTACCACCCTCGCAAGGCTGATTCCCCGCGCGGATGTCGATAGCGGACAGTGGAAGTGCCGTTGGACTGGTCACTGCCTTGGTATGTCTTGATATCAGGAGCATCTCCAACGTTGCCTACATGCTGACAGCCCAACAGGCGACGAGTGCGAGACCAACCGAGACTGCGATGGCGACCTCGTCTGCCGCAACTACGAGTGCGCAAACCCTGGAGGTCCAGTCAAGCCGACCACCACGCGCAAGACCACGTCGACCACCAAGACAACTAGAGGTACTCGTCCCACAAACACGGTACCTCCAGGCTGTGTCTGGCCCGGCCATTGCTTGGGTATGCCGCCCCCATGAACTCCCCTTCTCCCACATGCTAACACTCCTTCTTCCAGGTGACCCCTGTAAAACCGAAAACGACTGCGACGCCGATTGGATTTGCCTGGCAGGCAAGTGTGCTTCACCGGGACCGACCATTCCCGTTCCCACCACCACTCGGCCTATCCCTCCCCCAATCACGACGACGAGGACTACGAGTAAACCAACCACCACCACTCGGCCTGTCCCTCTCCCGTTCACCACGACGACAAGGACTACAAGCAAACCAACCACAGTGCCGGTGCCTACTACCACGAGCGAGCCACCTACTACCACAAGCCAGCCACCTACGAACCCGGGAAACCCCAGCTGTGGTGATAATCCTTTAGCCTGTATCGGTACGTCGACACTGTTGCGTCTTACCCTGAAGAATAGCTAACCAAGGGTGCTGAACAGGCTCCCCATGCTCCATCGATGCCGACTGCAAGTTCGATTTGATCATTTGCCAGAATGGTGTTTGCGGACTCTGAACGAGAAATCATAATTATCATATGGTCGCTGTAGAAGCGGAAACTTCCTTACGAACCCAAAACACATCTAGCACCTCCTTCCCGCCGACGCGTCCCGTCTATCCTCTGTCACCGTAACTTCATGTGTAACAACAATCCCCTTCTGCTTCCAATTCCTCCCACTTCCCCCCGAGTTCTGGGGTTCTATCACGTCTGCCCCTCTTTCCACCGACATCGTCCTTCCACGGCCTCCTCCACTGCCCTGTGCCACCACATCGGTTGTAGCAATGTCCCTACTGCTCGCGGTTGAGCTCCAACTTCCTCTCACCATCTTCCCATCGTCCGAGCTCACAATATTCTCCTCACTTCCCCATAACGTATCGTCTGACAAGGGGTGTTTGCTGGTCTTGCTAATCACGACCCTGTTCCTCGGCCCTCCCTTCTGACTGCTGGGAGTACTGTCCAGTGCATATCCATTGTGTCCCGATACACCATCCTTGCGGATCCCCGACGTCCCTCCGCTCAGCGAGATGATACTCTTCTCCATGAATCTCTTGACCAGCGGATATACCATGGGCATGTTCGTCAAGACAAAACTGACAAAGCTCTCCCTCACAGACCAATACCCACTCTGCGCTGCATCCGTATCTCCCAACGTCAAGATACACACACACCGCAGAATCCCGAATGCCATCTCGATGAACCCGCCCGAGAACATCAACAGCAAAAAGAACTTTTTCCTCCACGTCAAGTTACTCTTCCACACCATTGGCAACGGAATCGCCAGCAGGTAGAAATCCGTCACCGTGTTCATCACCATGACAAACACCGTCTGCAACTCGCTCACCGCTGGCGTGCAATTGTTGCCCGGGTTCGGATAAATCTGCCACTGCTTCTCAAACGGCACGCACTTGAATATAGCCACGCACAGACAGGCCATGTACGTGGCCGGCATGATGACGTACGCCCCGACGACCCACATGCGCATATTGTGCACGCCCACGGTCAGGCGGGCATAGTAGACCGACCAGCATGCCTTGAGTAGCCAGAGAAGGGTGGTGTAGAGGAGCAGTCCCGCCACGTGCGCTTTGGAGCCGAGGATGCGGAGTTGGTATTCTTCACTTTGCGGGGAGAGAAGCGCGCGATCAATGTCGGTGATGCCGTTGTTGGCTAGGCCATGAAAGGTTGTGACGAGGACGTGGGCGACGGTGGTTTCGGCTGTGTAGGTGATCTGGAGGGTGTTAGCTATGTGTTCAAGAGGAGGGGATCAGAAGACGACTCACCAAAGCAGCAAACATCAAAAAGTCATCCAACGCCAGCTTCCGCCATCCCAACTGGCGAATTCTGCTGAAGTATCGGAGGATCACGACAATGTAGGCTGCGCCTTGCAAGCCCCACGCTTCGCGGACGAACCGGGCCGCTTCGGCTTGTACATTTTCATCGGATGTCCTAGGGACAAGGTACATGGTTGCGGCTGTGTAGAAGGCCTATGGGGTGGAGGAAGTAGTGAAGAGGGATGTAAAGAAACCTCTAAGATGTGACTGACTCAACAAACAGACTGAAGGAAAGAACTGAAAACGAACAAGCATGCTCTTGTTGATGTCTTGCAAAGAAACAAGAGAAGACACTCGACATGTTGACCTGCCGACCGACTGGACCCTTCTCCCTATGTATAACTATGCGAAAAGAAAAAGAAACGACGGCTCGGACATAGATCTCTTCTACATGCGTCTCATCTCCTTTCTGAGCTTCATCTGGGTACCAGTCCCTGAGACCCTGCCTAAATTCCTCCGGGTAACAAGTTGTCCCGGCCGGGCCGCGGAGTAAGTTGCCACTTCAGCTAATGTTACGAAGCTGAGTTTCGCGGAGGATGTTGGATTTGGGGATTAAAGAAGAGATAGCGAGTGGCCATGGCTTCGGGATCCTGGTTGCCCCATACCTCTAGTCTACTTGGGCGCGGTGATTCTTCTCCGCCAATCACTTGCTGCTAACAGGATATTTCCCCTGAGCTGAACCCCGAGATTTGAAGGAATGTACGAAACCATCGCTTCTTTTTGTAGCTAAATCTCTTCCCTGCAGCCTGCTTTGCTTCTCCCAGGATTGGTTACAACCCGGGGCCCCGTAGTGGGACCTGCCGTGGATTTGGGGATTTCAGCATTCAGCGTGGTTGGCTGCACATTCAAAACATCCGAGGCAAGTGATAGGTGCCTTTTATCACAGTTGCAGTTCATGTCTCGGAGCCGATCTTGCTACACTGCCTGCTCATACACGTTGACTACTTACCTGGTGGATAAGCAATCTCGTCACATGCAATAAGGCCCTTTGTTCGAGATTGAGGAGTAAAGGTAGGCAGTGTAGACGACTGGCAGCAGGAACATGAATCCAGAACGTAACCTAGAGAGTTTGAATAAAACAGAAAGAGACATCATCTCTACAAATCCATGTTAGCCCTCCCGGCAGCCAAGCGCCGTTCGAGCCAACAAGGGCGCCCTGTCCGGGAACAAGGCCAGCGGGGCACCGGGGTCCAGGAGCCGAGCGGCTGACTGGTCGGTTACCGCTATTTCGCAGTCGATTTGGATACCCCTTAGCTCAGCCCTTAACGAGCCACCATACCCGATCTAGGTATGTGACGGAGCGTCATGCAGCTGGCAACCCCCCTGCGCACTCATTGTGCCAGGCGCGGCCACGTTCACATACCCACTTTGAGCGCCCAGAGGTTACAGCGGGCTTGCAGATGGCCGCAGATGGCTTGCAGTTGGGCGCCAGCTTAACTGTAAGAAGGCTAGCCTCCCCCTAAGGGTATCCAAATCGACTGAGATTTAGCGGTAGATGTCGATCTTTCTCTTCAACCTTAAACTGCATCTGACACAGTGGGGACTGGGGAAGACACTGGGGGCACCGAGGCAAACTGATTGGGGAAATATTGGGCTCCTCCATCTGGGGATGGATGACCACACTGTTTGGAAAACAAATTGGGAGAACTAGACAAGTAGAAAACAAAGGATTCATCTCCGAGCTGCATGGTGTTCAACCCCAGGAGATAACGGAGAAAACTGTGCAAAGACATAAACATTGCTCAAGCGATTGGAGAGAGAAAGAAGAGGCGAAGACGTGGTTTTAAACGAACTGAGGATGGAATTGATATGTATTTCAATGAATTGCTTCATCCTTCTAGCCAGTGGGTATGTCTAAAAGTCATTTGTTGAAAAAACAAAAAAGTGGCGGACGCTGAAAGGGGAGACTTGGACATAAATGAGGGGGACATCATGATAAACCGCGAATTTCAACGGCCAAAATCTGGAACCAACATGAACAGAATGCGAGAAATTGACAATCGAACGTTGTTCAGCAGCATACCGCTCTCCCAGGGTCCGGGTCCGAGACATCAAGACCCTTCCATTCTTTGTGCTCCGAGGATATATCAGCACCAAGGGGGGAAAAGATGTACAATGGCGCAGGTGGCTGAATTAACGGTGAACCGACAGCCGGTCAGGGTCTTTTTTACGATTCTGCAGCTCTTTGTCTCAGGTTGAGCCACTGGTGTCTTGTATCGTTATCTGGCGTTTGCAACAGTGCACAAAAGTTTGTTTGTTGGAATGCCATGACTGTGGTTTCTGTTTGGACGTTGAGATGCCGCGTTTGATTTCGTAGAATACCTAGAATGGTCCAATGTAAGATACAATTTGATCTCAGTCTCGACATTAGCAAAAAAAAAAAAAAAAAAAAAAAAAAAACACTTTTTTTCATCTCCGGCGGAAGAGCGAGATGAGATTAAGATTGGAAGACAGGAGCCTAGAATCTTTTAAAGTTGAACGAGATATCGTCTGTGCGGCGGCTATCATGGTTCAGGGCAGGAGGTCAGGGACGGATGGGTGGGCAAAGGCGAGTCCAGGCACACGGAGTTTTGTTCCGTCCCCTCTTTTCTTTTTTCTTTCATCTTTTTCATTGGGTTTCCCCTCCACTTCTCCCCCCCCCCCCCTGATGGTTCCTGACCTGTCATCCAAATACATAACCACCACACAGCCCATGTCCCGCTACCTTACCATTCAACAGCCTTGACATGTCTTATGCCGGCCACTAATGCACTAGTGGATGCCTCTGCTTGACCTGAATGGATCGGTTAGGTACACAAAAGGATTCGCTTCCCCTTGTCGAGTCCCTCCTCCCCGGTCAACGGTTTTGGGACGACAGCCAACGACGAAAACTTTGAGGAGCAAATCACGCTAAAAACAACCGAGGAAGAAGCCAACAAGCCATGCCCTGTGCTATGCAGTAACGTTAGATCCAATCCACTATGTACAAGCTTGCGAAGCCTGTGTAGCTCCCTTCCCGTCACTTTCTCGTTTCCACTTACTCTTTTGGGCAAGGATCCGTATGGGGTAGTATTCGTTCGTATATCTGGGGAAGTGGAGGGTTCGCATGTAGGGCATGCACTGAATTCTGTGAGAACGACAATTGTTGACAGCGAGAATGGTAAAGATTGCAGAAAGCAAAAAGAGCGGTCTGATTGTGGCCAAGTTTCGAGACAATATAGATGAAGGAAGCCATTTTGATGAAGCTAGAGAGAGAAAAAAGAAAAGAATGATTCGGCCCCATTTTCTAGAATCAACGGTAAGTGGCTGCTGGTCGCACAGACAGTACAGTGCAGCCGGGACATTGAGCCCGGGTGGTGGTCACAAAATGCTACCATAACGGCTTGCCGCCCGCCAATCGGTATAAACATGGTTGTGTCAGGATACGACTGTCCCTGAGGCAGTAAACAACGGTGCTGTTGAATCGTACCATGATGATAACAGAACTGACAGTCGGTACAGTGAGGGAGGACAGTGCCAGCTTGCCCATTACGTTTCCTCTTTGTACTGGTCATCATCATCATCATCACTGTCCGTCACAATGCTTGCGGAATGGGGGGAAAATTGACCCAAAGAGCAGGCAGTCTAGGCAGGGAAGTGACGGTGAATTCAACCCTCCTCCAGGCTTCACCCTGACGGTCGTTATATTCTGGCTTCCTTCGAGTGTCCATTCGGTCATGGTGGTGCGTCTCAGTTACCCATTTCGGTTTGGCCCGAGGCGAAGAGTTGCCCAAGTTCAGGAGAAGGCAGCATTCCCAGGAATCGAGGCGGGCCGACTATCAAAGTTGCACATGGTTATCGGCATCTGGGGTTGCCTTGTTAGTCTCGAATCTGCTGATGGCTCCCCTATTTGGTGTTTCTCCTGATATGGAGATACCGGGTATGGAAATGTGGATGGATGGTGGACATTACCGTCCTTCTGGAAACCGGATCACCGGCATATGGTGATGCTCAAGTGACGATGATAAAAGAGCTCAGTCACTTGTCTTTTTCCTAGCCGAATCCTACCTTCTCTCTTCAAGCTCTCTTCTACTCTATCATAGTACCATCGTTCTTAATCCTAATACCTAACCCAGTAACCATGTCTGCAGCAACTACCAACGGCCGTGCCAATGGCATCAACGGCACCAACGGAACCAACGGAACCAACAGCGTCAAGCCCAAAGAGTCCAACGTTGATGTGTAAGGCCACTACCACCCCCCGAGCACAGTTCAACAGACTAATACATACCAGACTCATCGTCGGTGCCGGCCCAGCAGGCCTCATGGCCGCCGCCTGGATGGCTCACTGCGGCATCAGCGCGCGCATAGTCGAGAAGCGCAACACCAAGATCTTTACCGGCCAGGCCGACGGCCTCAACTCCCGGACCATCGAGATCTTTGACAGCCTGGGCTTTTCCGACCGCGTGTGGAAGGAATCCAACCACATGCAGGAGATTTGCATGTGGAATCCCAACGCCGAGGGCATCATCCACCGCTCGGACCGCATCCCCGACACCGTCGTCGGCATCTCGCGCTACCAGCAGTGCGTGCTCAACCAGAGCCGCATCGAGCGCTGGTTCATTGACAACATCAAAAAGTACTCCTCAAAAAACAACAACAACGCCATCACGGTCGAGCGCGGCATCCTGCCCGAGTCGCTGGTCATTGACGAGTCCAAGGTCGAGGATGACGACGCCTACCCCGTCACCGTCGCCCTCCGCACCTTGACAGAGGAGGAAGCCACGCCCGTGCAAGCCGCCACCGCCTCCAAGTCTGCGGCGTCTGACGGTCTCTTCCGCAGCAACCTGGTGCAAGATGACGACGAAGCCGATCTCCTCCGCAAGTCCCAGTCCCGGCCCGGCACTAAGGAGATCGTCCACGCCAAGTACGTCATCGGATGCGACGGCGCCCGCTCGTGGACACGCCGTGCGCTGGGCCTGGAGCTGGAAGGCGAGGCGACCGATTACATCTGGGGCGTCATGGACATCATTCCGATCACCGATTTCCCCGACATCCGCCACCGATGCGCCGTGCACTCGGCTGAGAACGGCTCGCTGATGGTCATCCCGCGCGAGAACCGCATAGTGCGGCTGTACATCCAGCTGAAAGAAGTCGTTCCGGACGCCTCGGGGCGCGCCGACCGGTCCAAGATCACGCCCGACTTGATCTTCCGCGCCGCGCAAAAGATTCTCGCACCGTACAAGCTCGACTACGAGTACTGCGACTGGTGGACGGCGTACCAGATCGGCCAGCGTGTCGGCAACAGCTATGACGTGCACAACCGCGTGTTCCTGGCGGGCGACGCCGTGCACACGCACTCGCCCAAGGCCGGGCAGGGCATGAACGTCTCGATGCAGGACACCTTCAACCTAGGCTGGAAGGTGGCCCTCGTCCTCAAGGGCATCTGCAAGCGGGACATCCTGGCCACGTACCAGAGCGAGCGCCGCCGCATTGCCCAGGACCTGATCGAGTTCGACCACAAGTTCTCTCGCTTGTTCTCTGGCCGTCCGGCCAAGGACCTGATGGACGCCGAGGGCATCGACATGGAGGAGTTCAAGCGCGCCTTTATGCGCGGCAACCTGTTTGCCTCGGGCATGCAAGTCGACTACGGGCCGAGCAATCTCGTCGTCAAGTCGGGCAACTGGCGCGAGCTAGGCGATCGCAGCGAAAAGAGCGCGAAGCTGCTCGCCAAAGCCAAGATCAGCGACGACAAGTTTGCAAAGAAGCAGGCTCTGGCCACGGGAATACCCGTCGGTAAGCGTCTGGCCTCCTTCAAGGTCGTCAGCCAGGCGGACGCCAGGCCGTGGCACTTGCAGGAGCGGTTGAAATCCGATGGAAGGTTCCGCATCGTGCTGTTTGCTGGTAAGATTCTCTCTCCGCAGCAGAAGGCGCGGGTGGACAGGTTCTGCGCCAAGTTGGACGCGCCCGAGAGCTTCTTGCGGAGGATCACGCCCGCGGACAAGGCTATTGACAGTGTCATTGATGTCCTCACGATCCATGCCAGCCCAAGAAAGGACACAGAGTTGTTGAGAGACTTTCCGGATATTTTGCATCCGTTTGATCAGCATCTGGGTTGGGATTACACCAAGGTGTATGCGGACGATGTCAGTTACCACGAAGGGTTTGGCAATGCTTACAAGAACTACGGCGTGGATAAGGAGAAGGGATGTGTGGTCGTGCTGAGGCCGGATCACTATGTCGCGTGGGTGGGTGATATTGACGATTTTGAGGATATGGAGAGCTACTTTGAGGGATGCATGAGGTTGCCTGCGGTGAGTGCTGCGCAGGATGTTGGTATTGTCGTGGAGACGGTCAGCAGCGTGACTAACAAGGCGGTTGGTCAGGTCAGACTGTCTGTGAGCCCAGTGTCCGAGTAGGAGGTTATGGGAGGTTGAGAAGGGCGATGTGATAAGCGCGAAATACCCTATACCATTTAGATCAATTAGCTTACTCCAGTGGCATTAGACAGAAATCCAAAGTCAACATTGACGGATGAACTTTGAGATCAGTGTTCCCTGGCCAATTGGGCAGCATTTGCCCCGGCCGTGACCCAATACTCGAATGACAATACGAGCAGCAGGTCCCTGACCAGGATGAAGCTTCAAAGAGTTGAGACGAGACAAGGCGAGAACTCCCGGACCTCCATGGCTCGTCAAGATGACATAGCATGATAGAAGTCAGGTACTCGTTGTGCGAGGGGCACCTGTTGAGCAATCCGTTACATATACCAACACATACATACTTGGAGAGTCTTGTTTCGCCGTGGGCTGCCGTGCCTGTATCGTCGATTGCAATTGGTGTTTTGTCCCTTCTTTCCACACATTGCGCAACATGGGGGACATCTATACAACAGGCGTGGAACCGGAAGAAGCGCGACGCTTCGTCATAGAATGCTGGTCCCTCCAAGGTGTAGCCTACGTCGTGATTGGGCTTCGGTATTTCAGCAGGATTCGCCAAGTGGGATGGCGCAAGCTCGCGCTAGATGACGGTTTAATGCTGCTGGCTTTTGTGAGTTCTCTTGGCTTCAGTTTGTGCCGAGACATGAAGCTTACTTCCCCGGATCCAGTTCACCTACACAGCCGAGAGCTTTATGCCTTACCTCTTCGTTTCCTGGTGCCATGGGTTAGCAAACAACGGCATGACAGACGAGCAACGAGCAACGCTTAGCCGAGATTCCGACGAGTACAAAATGCGAGTTAACGGAGCCAAGCTGAACGTCTCCGGCCTTCTCTTGTATACCACCCTTCTTTGGCTGCTTAAAGGTTGTTGGACAGTGTATTACACACGCCTAACGTGAGTGTCAGCCTGGGAACGCAAGAGGAGGTTTATACTGACCCGCTAGATATCAAACAGAGCCGGCATTTACTTTATGCATCGCTGGATGATTGGCGCCTACATCATCATGCCCCTGACTTACATCGCCTGTGTATGTGTCGCCCTCCTCCAATGTGTCCCCCTTCACCGACAGTGGCAGATCTACCCCGACCCGGGCAACCACTGCCAACCGGCGATATCAGTTCTGCAGACGGTTTTCGTCATGGTCATGAACACCGCCACGGACTTTTATCTTCTCGGTATTCCCGTGCCTATGCTCTGGAAGTCGAATCTGCCCTGGTCGCAGAAATTGGTGCTATTCATCATGTTCAGTGGCGGATTTCTGGAAATGACATTTGGGATTATGCGGTGTGTCAGTATTTTAACTGTGAGTTGGGTCCTTGGGAAATCCATCTTCCAGAGACGGCAAGCTGACTCACCTCAAGAAGGGAAATAGGGACCCCGCGCAAACAGGCTACTGGTCTGTCCGCGAATCTTTTGTCTCCTTTGTTCTGACCAACATGCCCATGGTGTATCCGCTGATCAGGCGGTCGGTACTTCGCGCCGTCTACTCCTTCGGCGGCTGGTTATGCCCAGGAAGCGGGACAAACACCACCACCGACAAAAATGACAACAGTATCGGATCAAACGGAGTCATGCTCGCCCGATATAGATCTCCATATCCCATAGACAGCCCAATGTTCCCACCAACCCACCAAGGTTCATCACACAGATGGGGTCCCAATCCCGATCCGATCTTCCCGATACCCGGCAGCGAGACCTTTTGGGTAAGCACGACAGATGAGGAGGGTACTACCGGCACCGGCACTACCGACACTACCGGCACTACCGGCACCGGACCACCAGGTAGCGGAGAGGACATCTCTAGAAAGGATACGATCCCGACGGCGGCAAATCGGAGTGGTGGGATGGTGAGCTTTAGGTCAACCTGCGACAGTCCTGCTCGGAGTAGAAACGACTGTGGACGGCCCAACTTGACGATACAGACAGCAGCTTCGCCATACCTTGGGGTGGTCACGTCGGTGGAGAGTTCGGGCATGATTGCGGAGCAGCCCCATCATGGTTGGTGCTCGTGTGAGAGTAGTAGTCACAGTGTAAGCAACGGCACGCCGGGAAGTGTTATGGCGATTGTAGTCACGAGAGAGGTCAGTATTGTGAGGGAGGAGGGGGTGGTTCCCCCTAGGCAGATTACCCCTGGGTTGCCACCGACCCCTGGGTTACCACCGCCGGCTGAGCTAATGGAATGGAGGGGGTCCACACAAGCCATTGATCATTGTTGAAACGAGAATAGATGGATCGAATTGCATGTGCGTTGCTTGTGCTGGGTTTAGGTACGGTGATTGAGATGTCTTGCTTGTTGTTCGGTTCCCAAGCTATCTGGACACATGAACAGCGCCCGGTGGTTGGAAGACTGTCCTACGAATGCCCATTGTCTTCTTCGACCAACCGGAAAGTAGGCCGTCTTCCGCTGTTCTTCTCGAACACTGAACAAGGCCTATTGTCCACCAGCCTTACCCGAAGGCTACTTGGAAGACGAATGGGATGCTTCCCCGGCAGTGTTCTCGAAGCCGGGTACGAGTTCCATTGTTCCGGACGGCTGTAGCCGATGGGAGCCTTTGTGCCGTTGTTCACTCGTGGGTTTCGGCGGAGGGCAATCGAGAGCCTATCGATTTGGGAGTCGTCGATGACCTTCTTTGTCCGGCTGTTCTGTAAGCGATATCTGATATTGGGAATGGGGGCATGTCGACGAGTGTCGAAAAGGTATAAGTATCGGTGTTGGGATCAACCAAGATTGTTCGATTCCTGTCATCAGCATCAGCAGAAACACCAGTAACAAACACTTGCCAGGAACAACAAGACTTGAAGTCCAAGTAAGCTTCTACCAGCAACAGCTCAAGCCACCACACCCGTCTCCACCAACCAACCACCCAAGCGTTCGGGTACATCTCCCGAACCACCAACCGTACGTATCACCATGTGTTTCACCACCATTTCCACCATGTGCACCAAGCGCACCTTTTCCTCCATCTCGGACGAAGACTCTTCTTGCCAGGAAGCTCCCAAGCGCATCTGCCTTCCCACCCACAAAATTACCCACGTCGGTCCTCTGGACCTCAACTCCCCACCCAAGTTTGCACCCATGCGCCCCCTTCCCTCCATCTGGCCGTGGAACTTGGACACTGACCTCGACGCAGACGCACCCCTCCCGCCTCCGCTCTCCATCGCGTCCCGCATCCCGGCCTTCCACATCCACGGCTCTTCCCACTGCGGCAACCATGCTCACGAGCACTCGTTCCCGTCAGGCAAGGAGACCAACAAGAACAAAAGAGTAGGTACACTCTGCTCCTTCTGCTATGGTCCTTACAAGCAGGGTGACCTCCACCAACTTCCCTGCGGACACTTTACTTGTTTGTCGTGTCTCGAGGAGAGGGTGAGACAGATTTCGACGTTTATGGTTGCTAACGCTGGGCTGATTAACCAGACCATCGCCAAGATGCGCGAGATTATGAATTATCTCGGCACCATGACTGAGACGGATGGTCTGGCTTCGACTGTCAGGCAGTACTGGGTCGATGAGTTTGGCTTCCTTCGCCAGGAGCTGGCGATCTTGACCAACATGTCATGCTCCTATTGTCAGGTGCATATCCGGCCGTCCCGGTTTATGACTTGTTTGTCGCCGGAGATGTCCAAGATCCTGTGGCTGACGGAGGAGTGGCTGGCCGATGCGCAGCCGGAGAATAGGAGGGCGTGTGGATGGCCGGATTGTAGGGCGTATGTGCCCAGTTGGTGTCACTACCTCTTTATTGGGCAGAAGGAGGTGAGTAAGGCGGTCGATGCGGAGGGGAGGAGGTGGTGGTGTCCGAGTTGCAAGGGCAATTGCTTCGAGACGGAGGAGGGGTTGAACCCGGGGAGGTAGATTGTCAAGGAGGGTTTGGGGTGTAAGTATTCGAGGAGGATGGTCGAGCTCGTTTGCTTGGGAATTGGGAATGGAGGCGTTCGGGATTGGCTTTGTTGGACCTTTTGAACATTTCCTAAAGACGTCGTAAGTGTTAGTTGGATTCTGCAGATGATGAAATAAAAAATGAAAGATAAGTGTCCAGACAAGTTTGATGTTGGTGATCAATGTACATGAATTTGGAGACAAGGTCAGCGTGGTGTGACCAAGATGTGATTGTATCTGTGACGCTAGAAGACAAGGGCCGATTCTGCTAGTGATATAACAATTGTTATTCAAACGACGCGGGCATCGTGTTCCCCGCTTTGGATCTCTCTCGGAAGACGTCGAGGGGTGGCCCAATCTACGGCTCGTCGGCGGCAGGATAGCTATTGAGCGTTCGAGGACGGAGTGTCGCGCTAAAGGGAGTGTGTAGGAGTCGACGTTTCCTTTGTTCGCGAATGGAGGTGCTGGAGGTTAGCTTGGTTCGATTCTGTGAAAACTTTCAGAGTAGTTGGCTTGGGTAGGTGGACAATGCAGAAAATCGAATATATTACGATGGCCCAAGTGTGAATGACAAAGGCCATCGGAGTTATTGATGCTGATGTGGATAAGATGTGATTGTATCTAGATTGGTGTAAAAGGGGCGCTGTTTCTGTTAGCGACATAACGCAGTTCTTGGGTTTTGTCCCTCTCCGGGCGGAAGTGCAATCGGGTGATGATGAAGGGCCGCTCCAAATCCGAATGAAGCCCGTATGTCCAGCACAATTCGAAAAGTCCGGTCGGCAAAGTGGAAGGCGGAATGTCCTGCGAAAGAATGGAGCTGGAAAGCAAACAGAACAGAAAGCGGGACGGGGACACTGGACTGCAAAAAACACGGCCCGAGCGCCATCTCACATCACGCGGGCTTCCTTCAACCTCTTGTCAACTCGGCTCAATTCTTTTTCCTTTCCCTTGAATGCATGCAAGTCGACCAATGAAGAACAAGGAAATTCAATTCTATTCAATGCCTGCTTTCTACTCACCTATCATCAGTCAACCACCCCTCAGTCAAACACATCAGTGGCATACCTCTCATTCCTAATCCCCTCAAACCACTTCAACGCCCTCTCCTCACTGACCTCGACCTCCTCCACCGTCAATCCCTTCAGCTTCAGTCCCTCCACAATTCCCTCCGGCAAACTGTCCAGCTCGCCCTTCTCCCTCGCCTCCACAATCATCTTCTGCCTCTCCAACGCAATCCTGACCACCACCTTCTTCACACTCTCCCCGACCTCCCTGCTGCCACAGACATACACCTTGGCCCCCCGGTCCCACAATCCCGTCACTTCCTCGCGATCCTCCCACAGGCGATCGCCAACGTACTTGCACCCCTTGGTCTCTTGGCTCTCCGGGCACCGACTGAATGCCCTCCGGACCGACACGGCGCCGATGGATTCCCACTTGTCGAACTCGTCGCGGTACAAGTCGTCCTGCTCCGGATGGCGACACCCGTAGAACAGCATGGCGGGCGCCAGACTCCGACCCGCAGCAATCTGCGCCGCGCGTTCCTGCACGAAGCCTCTAAACGGCGCCAGGCCAGAACCAGCAGCAATCATGATCAGGGGAGTCTTGTCGGCGTCTACCGGCAGGTGGAAGGCCTTGTGCGAAGGGCGGATAGACACATTCAACTTGTCGCCTGCCTCCAAGCTGGCCAAGTAACTGGTCGCCACGCCGACGTGTTTCTTCTCGGGGTTCGACAAGGAAGGGCTTTCGAGAAGGGAGTAGGTCAGGGTAACGTGGGACGGGTTCCAGAGCGGAGACGAGGAGATGGAGTACTGCCTCACACGCATGGGCGGCAGCAAAGAGAGGAAGGAGGAGAAGGGCAGCGGGATGGACGGGAACTGCTCGAGCAGGTCGAGGATGGAGACGCGGCGCGAGGTAATCTTTTCGGTGTACTCGGGTCCCGCCAATTGGCGCAGTGTGGCTTTGGTCTCGGCGTTATCAGCGGCTTCGGCGAGAGCGAGGATGTTCTTCTTGGTGGCCGGCTGGGAGAGCTCGACGTAGGCGCCCAGGACGTCGTGAACCGGCACGGGCACGCCGGTGGGCAAGATGGTGGTCTGCCGGGACGCCTCGATGGTGATGTTGGTGTCCCATGCCAGTTGGAAGCGGCGCATGACGCGGTTGACCGTTTCCTTGGGGTTGATGGGCAGAACGGCAAGGTAATCGCCAGAGCGGTAGGCGCCCGAGTCGGACGAGAGCTGGACCTCGATGTGGCGCTTGGGAGGAGCACCCGGGGCGGTGATGGTCTTGGCGTCAACGACCACAGCCTCCTGGACGTCTTGCCTCAAGGTGGAAGAGCGAGGCTTGGAAAAGTTGACGGTAAGGCCGGATTGAAGTAAAGCCTCGTTGTCATCCTCCTTCTTGCTAACTTCGTACTTTTCTTCCATAGCTGGCCAGAACACCTCGTCCTCCCACTGCTCGAACTCGGTAAACATCTCGCCCTTGCCGGCGTCGGCGAGACCCAAAGAACAGATACGATCACCGCCGCGCTCGGACACGGTGTTGTCGACCAGCTTGGGAATGCGATGGAAGGTCTGCGCCCAATCGTGATGACCGCAGCCAAAGACAGCGTACTGGACACCCTCGAGCTCGTTTCCAGTCAAGCTCTCGAGCCAGCCGACGAACAAAGCCGCATTGTCAGGGGGTTGGCCCTCGTACGAGGCAGTGATGAAAACCACTGGCCTGTCCTTGGGCAGGTTCTGGTTAGCCGCATCCAAAGAGTCAATAATCGTCGCCGTGAACCCGTGCGCCTCGGCATCGGAAGCAAGGCGCTGAGCAAAGGTCTCGCAAGTACCCGTGTTGGAGCCGTAGTAGATGCTGATAGGCTTGCCCTCTCCGCTCTTCTTGGGTTGTCCAGACACGGGTCCCTGGGCAGTAGGCTTGGGAGCGACAAGCTCACCCTTCAGGCGGCGCTCCAGGTCCAGAGCAGACATGCCGTCGCGCAGCATGGCGCGCATGTAGAAGCCCTTGGGCTTGGTGGTCAAGGTCTGCTTGTACTGCAGCGTATAGTTGGGATCCTCAGGCATAAAGTTGAAGTTCTGCAGGCAAACCGCCATGACCAGCAGCGCCTCCTGCCACGCGAACGGACGACCGATGCACGCGCGCATGCCGTTGCCAAACGGCTTCCAGCAGTCGGGGAACTCCTTGTTCAAGCGCTCAAAGTTCTCGTCCAGCATGCGCTCGGGGTCAAAGTCGTTGGCGGTATCTCCATAGACGGCCGGGTCGACGTGGGACTTGGCGAAGAGCAGGGCAAAAGGCTGGCCCTTGGAAACCTCGTACTTGCCGCCAATGACGGTGTCCTCCTTGGACTCGACGCCAATCACGGGAATGGTGGGGCAGAGACGGAGGGTCTCGCGCAGGACGGCGGCGATGTAGTGCAGCTTGTTCATGTGCTCGAGCTTGATGGGACCCTTGCCGCACACGTCGTCGACTTCCTTTTGGGCCTTGCGGTAGGTCTCGGGGTTCTTGAGCAGCTGGACAAAGGCAAAGCTCAGGAGACCCGACGTGGTTTCGTGGCCCGCGATCAAAAAGGTGATGAGGTTGTCGATGATGCTGTCGTCGCTGAGCTTCCCGCCCGTCTTGGGGTCGACGCCGTCCAACATGGCCGTCAACAGATCCTTGCGCTCGGAAGGGTGCTCTTTCCTGGACTTGAGGACGCCCTCGGCGGTTTCACGGAGGACCCGGATGTCGTCGTAGAACTTGCGGTCGACCTTGCTGTACATGAAGGCCGGAAGCGCCGGGCGTCGGGAGCGGTTGCCGGACTCGACGAGGAAGCTGGCCATGGCGTCGATAAAGGGGTGCATGTCGTCGTGGTAGTACGAGTTGAAGCGGTAGTCCATGGAGCACAGGGCAATGGTGTCGAGGGTCAGGCGGGTGAAGTCGTCGGTCACCTTGATGGACTGGTTGGGGCCGTGGCGGGCCCACTTGAGGGCGAGCTGGCTGGCAATCTCGTGCATCTCGGGGAACATGTTCTGGATGGCCATGGGGCCAAAGGCCGGCATGAGGATTCGGTGGGCGATGCCCCAGTTGGGCTCGTCGTTGCGGGCGGTGAAGAGGCCATCGTGGATGCCGTGTCGGATTTCGTGGAGGGCGGAATTGACCGTCTTTTGGAATCGCTTTTCGTCGCAGAGCTCGTGGACAAGAGCTTGGGAGGTCTGTTGACGGTTAGCCGTGTGTATCAGTGTCAAGTATGGTGAGGAGACGTACCACAAAGACGGTGTTTCTACCGGGGAAGTTGAGTCGGAAGATTTCGCCTGTCAATGTTAGCAAGGGATTTTCGCATGAAGTTGATGCATCCTGCACTCACCATATTGGTCGGCAAAGTTGAGCATGGACCCAAGGGGGAACTCGGTGTCAATGTCAAAAGAGTTGCCCACCAGGGGCAGCCCGGGGGGTCCGGGAATGGGGACTGTTTGTGGTGTTTCGTCTGAAGACATGATGTGTATGATGTTTCACACGCCTGGTGCGAAGGAATAAGTACAATTAGGATTTACGAGAGTGGTCGTTTTGGTTGAATAGTGAAACAAGGGTCGGAGTGTTGTACAGCCTCGGTGAAACAGAAAAGAGGCTACCAAGTACAAGCTGTAAGTGGGTGGGTGGTGGTATAGAGGGGATAGTCGGATACTGACTTGTCTTTCAGATGGTGGGATGGATCAACGTCTTTATACGAACATCACTGAACATGATCCAGGCAGGTCAGGACGACGGGAAACGCATTACGACAGGTCGAACGATCCTTGTCGGTCTGGCCCCCCCACTTTATGATGGGTGTCAAGAAAAGACTGGTTTCGTTGCGTATCATTGCAGCGGGACTGGCGTTGGATGACTTGCCGTCCCCGATCCTCCAATGCCTCGGTTGTCCCCGAAGAACTTGTCTGTCCATGGCGCGGTCATTGTGCGCATTGTCCAAGGTCCGACCGACATGTTTCGATCGGAGAATTCGCTTTGTTGGGTTAGGTTTGGGACCCTGTTTTTTTTTAGGTGAAGCCATTCCCGTCGGGTGTCCAGGGGTAAATCAGGGATTAGGGGTCCATGGGCTGACGCTAAGATAAGAAGCTATCAACAACCTCGGTACAAAATTGGGACTCGACTTGGTTCGATTGGCGGCGGTTCCAGCGGCATGTTTCTCACCAATTCTCAGCTGCAGTATGCCTTCACCCCACCTACCCTAAAGCATGCGCGACGGGGAGACCGTCATTGTTCTATGCCTCTACAGGGATAGCCTCGACGGCAAAGGCGGGACTGTCACCAAGTGTCTGAAGATAGTTCGCGGCCTTTATGAGAGATCAGCTACAGACCAGCCGTCATTGGTTGCGGGAGTTGAGAGACAGATGCGCTGAAACAACGGGCAGTGTTCCCGCAGCGCGTCCCTGTAGGGCCTGGCAATTCTGGGCGCTGCATGGATTCATCGTGAACGGCCAAAAGTCCGGTCGGTCGTGGTTACGGTCGGTGTAAGAGGACAAGACAACTGGATCCGGCTACGTTGGAGCGTCTCTCTCTCCAGCTCGAACGACATGGTTTGCGACTGATCATCTCTTGACGACATGCCTGTTGCTGTGTTATGCTTTATGGTGTTGTCAGTCGCCTACTCCGTGACCTCGGTTGGTTAACGAGAATGACGACTACGGCGGTGTCTGTTGTTGGTCACCGACGTCCTTGTGTTTGGCGACAGGTCACCAACTTCAAACCCGGGACGGAGTTCTGAATCGCCCTTGTCAACCGACCGGACTTCTTGCTCACTTTCCGCCGCCGCCGGTGCTCATTTCAGCCGACATCCGACGACACCTTGATGGCTCCGTGTTTTTTAGGCCACGATAACGGTCTCGATTACAGTACCCTGCCAAGCCCTTAGCGCTGATCGTGTTCCTGACCGCTGCGATCATGTCTCACTTTGAGCCCTAACCCCAAGCCACTTGTCCTCCCCCCCTTTAGCTGCTTTGATGCCATCACCATTCATTCAGCTCGAAGACAATGAAGCACCCAAGGCACTCGATGTGGTTGTCCATTTCCGGCTGTACACGGTTACACGAAAGCGTCTCAACAAAGCGCCCCGACTCGTTTGAGCCTTGTTTGCGCCCACCCCTTTCATTTGAATCAACACCTCAAAAAGCTCACCGTCCTCTCGTCCAAACTGTGCCCATTCTTTCACCGACCAAGTTGGACACCTATTCACAGCTGTCCACGCAGATCTTCAATGACAAGACCATCGTGTTACTGGAATCATGGTGCCGGAATCCCATAAAGCCTCTCCAAGAGGCGTCCTTGGAAACATATCGCATAGGTAACAATCGACAGTCAAGAACACCAAAATGACCAGTCCTGACCACATGAACATCCACCATCTCTCGGCCTGGGACAATGTCGCTCCTCGCACATACACCGGTCGGGTGATTTGCTTTCCCTTTGATGACCATGCTCGCAAGAATCAGTCGGAGAGCGCCCAAACTCTCTTTGACTGTCTGCGGAGCAATCTCGATGTCCTGGGTAAAGAGAGGCCTGACTTTGCCGGAAAACTCCAGCTCGGGGCGAACTTGACACCCAATCACAAGGACGGGAACGTCTATCTCCTCACGTCCTCCAGCTTTCGCATCAATCTGAGGCCCAAGTACCCCAAGGAGCTCGAGTCCATGTACGGACAAGTAACTGCCCAGGACGGTGCCGACAACGTAAAGGCAAAGGGGATCAAGTTTGATAAGAAGTTTATCAGCTACGACACCTTGAAGCGCTCTGGGTTCCCTGTGAAACCCTTCATCAATGAGGACCTGACCACCGACCTGATGCTCGGCGCAGGAAAGCCCCCCGTCCCGGTTGTGGAGGTCGAGGTTGTCTTTCTCAACGGCGGTTTCTTCTTCAACCTGCTCATCCACCACTCCTACTTTGACGGCAAGGCGTACCACAAGTTTCTAGAATGCTTTGCGGCCTGTACTCGTGGAGACAAGCTTCCAAACTATTCGACCAATTCCATGATCAAGCTTCCCTACGCGCAGGAACAGTCCCTCGCCGAAAAGAAGTTCGAGGACATCCTCCCCTTGTGTCCCGAGTTCCAGACGTGGCCAAACCACGACCTCAAAGGTCCAACGCAGCCCATCATGTCCGAAATCCTCAACAGCGAGAGACCCAAGTCCTTCCAAAACGACAGCAAGATCTTTCTCTTCAACTTTTCCAAGCTCAAGACTCTTAGTGTTGAGCTCGCCCAGCTCCTCCCCAGCACCTCCCCGCCATCCGCCTACGCCACTCTCTGTGCTCTCCTCTGGGCACACACCCTCGTCGCCCGCGAAGTCTTTCTCAACAACTCTTCCGACCCCAGCGAACGCGCCATCCACACCCACTTCGCCTCCCACCCTCCCTTTTTCTCTACTCCCGTCGACTGGTCCAGCACACGGCTTCTCCAAAAGTATCCCTCCCTTTCCTCCATCACCGCCCAGGCCTACTTTGGCAACACCATCACCTGGGCCATCACCACTCTTCCCGACACCTCTTTGCTCTACGACATTGCTTCAGGAAACAAGACCTCCCTCGCCCGCGCCGCTAGCGCAATCAGTCTCTCCATCTCCCGCGTCGATCCCTCCTTTCTTTATACGCGCGAAGCTCTGCTCGACAAAGTCCCTGATATGCGCCTGCTCGGTCTACCGTGGGATAGCCGCATGCCGGCCGAGTGGGGGATGAATAGCTGGGCGGATTTCGGTGCCGATATCGAGTGGTCGTTGCCGGGTGTTGCGAGGACTCCGGGGGTGGAAAAGGGCTGGACGCTAGCGGACGCGCAGAGGCGGGTGCAGAAGGAGGTGGGAGGGTCGGGAGGGCTGATATTGCCGGCTAAGAGAGCAAGGCCAGAAATTTGGGAGTGTCAGGTTAGTTTGCCGGAGGGGGCGATGAGGGTGTTGGAGGGGGATGAGGTTTTTAAGAGGTATTGGGAGGGCGTGGTTGGTGATGAGGTGGTGTTTGAGTGATGGGAATTTTGAGCGGTTTTTGTGCGGTTTGCGATGTTGGAGCCCATGCAGACTGGGAGTTATCATGGAAAAGGAGGTATCGGACACTGATGCCATGGAATGTGGAGGGAAAGAGTATCCGTATGGGAATGAAAGGCGCAATGTCGGAAGGCGTTCGTGGGCAGCTAAAGAAGTGCGTTTTGGTGTTTAAATAGGCGTATAGGGACGAAAGTTACGGATTAGGTTTATAGATAGTGTAGTATGAGAATAAAGAATGACAATTGTCTACAATGACCATCGACCATTCACCCGAAATTCACAAAAAGGTCATTGAAGCACCAACAGCGAAGCACCCATTCACCCACCTGCCGTGTCCAGACCAACGTACTTTCCACCTGGCACCAATCTTTGTTCAGCCTTGACCGAACCTGGACGGCCAACCCGTTCACTGCCGTGTCTAAGCCGATATTTAAACCATTTCCTGCGGGAAAACCGCAACACGATCCCTTTTTCGCATCATCCTCGAGATTCCCTCAAACAACCACAAGCAAACGCCCAAATCATCAGCCATGACCAGCAACGAGTCCATCATCACCACCTCCTCCCTCTCCCTCTGGAACAACATCGCGCCCCGCGTCTACACCTCCCGCGCCCTCTGCTTTCCCTTCTCCGCCCCCGCCCGTAACCTCCTCGACCCCCTCTCCTACACCTCCACCCTCCTCTGGTTTCTGCGCATCCACCTCCTTCGCATCGCCAAAGTGCGACCTGCCTTTGCCGGCAAACTTCAGCTTGGAATCAACCTTTCGTTAGAAGAAAAGGGGGATCTCAAGCGAGACCGTGTCTATAATGATTGGCATGTTTACTTGCGGACTTGCTCAAACTGGGAGATTCCTTTGGGGGTGGAGTGGCCGGATGATGAAGACGTGAGGGGGATGTATGCCGGTCTGGAGGTCGAGGGAGTTCACAAGAGGGAAGTAAAGGGTTGGCCGAAGGAGTTTTTGAGTTATGATGAACTGAAGAGGGCGGGGTTTCCGGTTAAACCGTTTATCAATCCTTTGTTGACGGACTTGTCGACGTTGAAGGAGGGCGGGGAAGCGGTGCCTGTTGTTCAGGTCAGGGTATTGTTCTTGAAAGGGGGGTTTATTCTGAATGTTCTGGGACATCATACAATGTTTGATGGAGGAGCTTTTACCCAGCTCTTGAACATCCTGGCTGAGCATACGACAAGTTTGAGTTTCGAGTGGGAGAAGGTTCCGGACAGTCATGACTTGCGGTTGACTTTGCCGAGGATCGAGAAGCCGTATGAGGAGCTGATGGCAAAGTGTCCCGAGTACAAAGAGTGGGAAGATCACGCACCCAACGGCCCTACGCACCCCGTCTGTCCCAGTCTGCGCGACGGCGACGGCGACTCATTGATCGGTTCCTCAAAAATCTTCGTCTTTACCTTTGCCAAAATCGCCCAGCTCCAAAAGGAATTGGCGACTCATGGTGTAGAAGCCAGCATCTACGAGTGTCTGTCTGGTCTCTTGTGGGCTTTGACGTACTTTTCCCGCGTCACGGCCTCCTCCACCGACCCCTCATCATTCGAGCATTTCCTCCACGACCACTTCGCCGAGGAGCAGCCCGTCTTTTCTACGCCTACCGACTGGATCGCTCGCGTCGCTGGTTTGACGTCGGCCGATCCTAAAGTTGTTGCTTTCAAGGAACAGATGGCCAAGGATACGAAGGAGTATCTGGGCAACAAGATTACCTGGATCAGCACCCGCCTGCCCTCGGCCTCTCTGCTAATCGACGCAGCAAAGGACGGAGATGTCGCTGCTCTGGCAAAGATTGTAGCAGCCATCAGCAAATCCAGTACCGATATGGCGGAGAACATGGAGGAGTATCTCACCACCCGGACTAGTCTGTTCCAAGCTCTCTCCATCTCGTCAGATGGCCAGGACACCCCCGACATGCGCCGCATCGGCCTCGCGTTCGACCCCCGCCAGCCGTCCGAATGGCAGATGAACAGTTGGAAGAACTTTGGCGCCGACACGGAATGGCGATTTCCTCCTCTTCCCTGTTTCTCGTCTCCCTCCGTGATGACCTCCATGGTCCCTACGAATGCCTTTTCTTCTTCAGCCTCTGCCTCTTATAGCCACCGCGACTACTTCAATGTGACTAAACCCGATGCTGTCCGGCGCGTGCAAGCTCGATATGGTATCAGCGGAGGACTGTGGTTGCCGGCGAGGAAGGAGCAGAAGGAGGTGTTGGTGCAGGTTAGTTTGCCGCGAGGAGCAATGGGGGTTTTTGAGCGATTGGTTCTGGATGGGAAGTGGGTGGAGAGGGTTATTTGAGGAGGATATCTGAACAGAGGCGTTTGGGGGCGTTGAAGAATGAGGTTTGGGATCGGGAAATGGAATGGAATCACGGAAGAACTGTCGGAGGCAAATTGGAATTTTAAGGAACTGCTTTTGTCGGGATGGCACCAAGTTTTCATGGTCAGCAAAGGAAGGCGCAAGGTCGAAAGATATCACACCCACATGACTGAACTAGTCCGTTATTTAGATGACTTGTCACAGCATTCAAGAATTCTCGTTGCTTTTTACTTGATACTGACCCATTAGTAGTCTCAATTGGCGCATGCAGATCCTCGTATCATTTCTGGTGACACGACAGCTCTGTGGCGTTCGTTGGCTTCCATTACCCCTGACGATAACGGACGGGAAACAGATAAGGACGTATGTTCCCGACGGCACCTGAGACCGAGTTTTGCTCTTTCCTTCCTCTGTCACTTTTCTTCCAGTGCAAAGTTTGTAAAGTTGGACTTTGATTCGACTTCGTCGACGACATTTGCGATGAATACAATCCCGTAGTCCATCATCGATATCGCGACTTCTTTGACGCAGCTCTTCCTTACCAGTCACTCGCTCGCCGCCATGCTGTCCACCGTCCTCTTCATCAGCCTCTCGGCATTGGCCACGGCCACCACATCTCCCAAACGCGGCTTGATCTTCACCCCCAACAGCGACTGGCCCAAAGATGACCTAGTCTGGATTACGGGTCCCAACAATCTAACCTGGTACCACAATTACCAATCCCTTCCGTCCTCCGAGTCCAATTATGCCACCCTTTCCCCGAACCAGATTGAATTCGTGCCGACCATGTGGGGAGGGAACGAAAATGACACCGACTTCTTGGGAAATGTGACGGCCCTGATGGGGGTTGACTTGAGCAAAGACGAAGACAGGACCAAGAGCGCCGGCGGCAAGCGCAACATCACCCACGTCATGACTTTCAACAAACCCGACCAGCCCTTTGACGTCGGCGGTAGCGAAATGGAACCCCGTGTAGCTGCCAAAGCATGGATCAAGAACATCATACCGCTTCGGCGACTGGGAGTCAAGGTCGGTCTGCCGCTTGTCAATGAGCTGCACACAAGCCAGAATAAACGAGACGAGGGGAACAAATCATGGCTGGACATGTTTTTCGCCAACTGCTCCGGGCTTCTGGACAAGGTGGAGGACGCAGAAGAGAAAGCGTGCGGGTTCGACTTTGTGCCTGTTTATTCTTTTGGGGACTTTGAGATGTTGAAGGACAGGGTCGGGATGTTTGAGAATGCGTGAGTCCTTTTATTTGGTCCACTGGTTTCCTCCCCTCCCCTTTCCATCCCATCACCAGATTATCACGTTATGGAACTCCGCTAATCCCTCCGTCACAGCTTCCCCGGCCTCGACATCTGGATCACCGAATTCGGCATCCCCTCCGAGACCCTCGAGAACACGCAAAAGTTCTACAACCAATCCATCCCCTACCTCGACAGCAAGGAGAGCGTCAAGCGATATGCCTGGTTCGGCGCCTTTCGAAGTATCGTATCCAACGTCGGTCCCAATCAAGCCTTTCTCGATCCATACGGAGAGTTGACAGATATTGGGAGCTGGTATTTTGGTGGCAACGCAACGGGAAGAGAGGCCCTTCCGAGCGAGGACTACAAGGACGATAAGTGCACAAAGGAGAAGCCGTGTGGAGGGGAGGAGAATGGGGAGGGAACATTGCGGCCGGGCAGGCTGATTGTTCTTTGGGTCGTCGTCTCCTTTTTGTTGGTGTAATTGCTTTGGGGGGATCTGTTCAACGCTCACGCTCACTGTGGCCCGATGCCTCCCTGATTCAATCCGCATCGCCCGCTTCCATTACCCGTCCATTCGCCGTCTGCCGTCCCCCTTTACGACCTACTCAGCGCAATCCCTATACCACTCCCCCAACTCGGTGACACCCCCCTCATCCCCCAACAGACTCGCCCACCTCCCCACATTCCCAATTGTCTCAGGCCTCATGGCCCCAAACCACGCATACCTCTCCACCCAATCCAACGTATCCAAATACTTGCAACTCTCCTTACAAAAGTGTTCCACCTCCTCCTTGGGCAGCGGATTCGCCTGGTCCCAATTCGTGCACGCAAACTCGGTAATCCACACGGGCTTATCCGGCCCCAGCTGATGATGCGTGCTCCAGATATAGTCATAAAACGCGCCCAAGTTCGCCCCGCCATACCAATGCAAACAGTAAAAGTCCACGTCGCTCCCCTGTGCCCGAATAGCCGCCATGAACTGCTGAAGCCACGTCACGCCCTGCGGCGCTGAACTAATCCCGGGACTCCCCGCCCTGACTCCCTGCCGGCGTAGGGGCTCGATAACCCGCAGCCATTCCTGCGCCGCTAGCTCGACGGGCATGTTACTTTGGTCGGTAAGCTCGGGCTCGTTAAACCCTAGCACCGTCGGCTGTCCGTTACATTCGGGATCCGGGTAGCAGGCGTTGAGATGCGAGGGGAGCTCGTCGATGTAGACGTGGTTCCATTGCATAGGCACGAATTGCAGAGAGCAGCCTGGGCCGGTGCCGGGCGTTAGGCGCGGGGACCAGTTGTAGAGCCAGGAAATGAGGGAACCGGGTTTGGAGAAGAGGAAGGGCGGGTCGGGCGAGGCGACGGGGAAGGTTAGGCCGCGTTTGGATGTCATTTTGGGGCTTGGTCTGGGTGCCGTATTTTAGGGGAAGTTGGCGGTTGAGCTTGACTGAGGTTGATTGTTTTAGTGAAGGTATCTTTGACGGGTTGAAGCTGGAGGTGGTCGAGCTACAACCAGAAATGAAGCAGAGAATAAAAGGGGCGAAGCCTTGACAGGAGATGCAAGTGGATTTAATCCTGATTGTTGACATTGAGGGTCGCCGAACCCGCCGACGCGGCACTGGGGCTGCGGCCGGGGCAGTGCACTGTCAGCCCCGTAAAAGGCGATAAGATAGACGCTAAGCGTCAAGCGACTTGGCTTGTTTAGCGGCTGGCGGTCCCCTGATGACGTAGCCTGGGCCGTTCCGTGGCAGTGCTGGCTCGATCGTGCCCGCTGGTTAGGGTTAGCTGTGGGAAAAGACGCTGATGAGGTGCTTGTTTGGGATGTCATCTTCTTCGTCAAGTCTGAAATGAGAGTCTTCAACATGCGTTTGATGACCAGGTCATGGTCTTATTTTATGCGCCAACGTTTTGAAAGGGTTGAAATGGCTCTGGTTGTCAATTTATCGCAGAGTGGCTAGCAGTCTCGAGGCATCGCCAACCCGCCAAGGAACCTCGAAGTGGGAGGAGATAGCGAACCAATTTCCAGAGTAGTTGAGTCCGAAAGTGCCATAGAGGTATGAGAAATGGGCAAAAGAAAGTCTGGAGTATGCGGGTCATTGTGAGCGATTAGATCCTTTTTGAGTGGAAAAGGGACAAGTTGGGGTTCGACGCTGCAGTGGTGGAAAGATGAAGATGGGAAATAATGGAAAACGCAATCCAGATTCATGTTTTCTGGATTCTTCACTCAAAAATTCCTACCAACTGAACACTGGAATGCGGACAAACAACCAAGCAAGGGAAGCACGTGGTTCGCCGGCACTTGTGTCTTGCGTTTAATCCCGAGAATGGCTTCACATTGTTCCAGGCCGTGTGCAAACATTGTTCTTTACCCTTATCAGTCAACACATGTCCCGTCAAACGGTCATGATTTCGCTTCCCAATCCCTTGATGATGCAAGTTTGCCATGCTGCTTCGAGAACACAGAGGCCCCTTGCAATTGTCTTTTTCCAGCCGGATCATGGTCGTTTGCCCTTCATCAATCCATCCCTGGTCTTCATACAAAAGTCCGAGTCCACCCATTCAGTGTCAATCGTTCTTTCTCCTTCATAAAAAAAACTACTCATTTCAAACTTACGAATACCGAATCTTCATATCTCGAGCCTATAAGCAAAATGGACGCCAAACCTCATCATGCCCGTCCTGATCCAACTTTCCCCCAGGTCATTCGCGCCCCCTTCAAGTCCACAACGTTCGCTCTCTCGGGGGTAGGGTACGATTGGTACATTTGGAATGAGAAGCCTTTCGAGTGTCTGTAAAGGGCTATTTGCGTTGATGTCGGTTCCCACCAGTCCTTTTCCTTCTCTAACGGGTACTGACATCTGGACAATTCAAAGTCATCTTGTCCAAACACGGCTACAGTGTTACAATGAATAGTCAGCAAGAGGAAAATCCGCACCGTCATTCAAATCTCAGCATCGTGTATGAACGCTATCCGAGTCCAGTCGCTCCATCGACCCGTCCGTCTGTCAGTCCATCCATCCGTCTGAGCCGGTCACGTCTACGCTCTTCATGATATGATAAGGACAGCAAATGGTATCTTGGAGACAAAAGAGAAAACAAAACATTGTGCCATTCCTTCTAGCCATGGTCTTTTGTGTACCTTTTGTATACCGAGAACCACCCTCTCTGCATGGTCATGACAATGGAAATTTTGTCTACCGCAGTCTTTTGTCACTGTTCAGCACGGATACATGAGACAAAAGGAAGCCACGCGAGAACGAGATGAACCACGACACCGTAAAATATCCACCCAAGAATGCAGGAAAGGTCGATACTTTTTCATAACATCATAAAGCAAAACCAAACATCGCTTTTGTTTGTCAGACCACAAGGAAACCACCACCCCAAAATCACTCAGGAAATGTGTATTGCTATGTAACAAAAAGAAAACCGTGTAATCTGTGTATCGAGTCGAAGCAATATCGAGTCGTCCGTGAAAACCATCGTCGTAGTACTGTCGTACAGAAAAACGCCTTGCATCGTCTTTGCGAATGCGCTGCGCTCAACTGGAGGCCAGGGATGGTCCCAACATGGGAGATGCTGTTGGCTTGCTGTTGTTGTTCATCGCGGTTGACGTTGTCAACGCAATCTGTGCTGAACAAGCAGACAAACAACACTCGCTGGGCCATGCCGTCCTTCCACGTACGTAGCCTGAAAACCAGGCCCACACGATGTCATTCCCGGTGGAAGAGGGATCGTGGGTATGTGTAGTACCGTACACTTGCTGTATCCTCGTCCGTAGTAGTGGGTATCGTTACCGGTGTCCAGTCCGTATCCGCGATCCAAAGGCCATAATCCGAAATCCGTAGTCCGTACCCGTGATCCATATTCCGTCGAATCCTTACATAATGGGCATTGCATCCACCGAAAGCTCCGAGACCGTGCTGAGATTGCTCCGGTGTCGCTTATGCACATGCATCGTGGTCGGGTCGTCAATCAGGGAACCGCCGGGGCCGGTAGTGGGAGCCTTCCTTTTCTGTGCAATGATTTGGTTGAGCGGAGGATCCTTGTGGAAGCGCCATGGGCTTGGGGTGACTTTGAAGTAGGGGGAAGCAAGAGGAAAGGAAGGGGGTAAGAAAAGATGGTCAGGTCCTACCATGGAATTGTTTTTCCTCCGGCGGGCGGGGGTGATGGGTGTGGTAACTGTCTCCAGACTGCCGGTCTTGATACCTCTCAGTGTGCCGTGGTAGTAAGGTCCCGAGAACGAAAGCGATTCCTGGGTGGCTCGGTCGCTGAGAATCAGCTGCTGGTTGATTTGGTTGCGCCGGAAAGCCCCGACAGCGTCCGCGTTGTTGGTCAGGTGGTTGAGCAAGGGGTGCATGTCCTGCTTGTCGCTGTCCTTCTTGGTCGGTGAGGTGGCGGCGCTCTCCGGGTCATATTCAAGCTCTTCGTCGACTTCCGAGTCGCTGTTATCGAACCTCAGGAAATCCTCAATGTCGAGCTTTGCCTCCTCCTCGTCCACTTCCTCAAGGCCCAGCTCGGAGTCGTCACTATCGTCTCCGGGGTAAAAGTCGTCGCCCATGGGGAAGAAGGCCTCGGCAGGACCCCACGGCTGTGTGTTCATAAAGTCGCCAAACGTGTTGGAAGACACCATGGCGCCCATCATGAGGTAGCCGGGGTTGGTCAGCAGGGGGGAAAAGTAGTCGAGGTTAGCCGATGGGACATCGTTGATGGCCTCAGTTGCCAGGTCTGCGGCCTGATGGTCCCTCTTGAAAATCATGATCTTGCGGGAGTTGGGGTTGAAGACAGCGATCGGCTTGTTGGAATCGGACCCGTCCAAGTGGAAACGGCCCACGCGAGGTTTGCCCCGCTGGGACCGGCAGGGCCTCTCAGCCTCGGACTCTGAAGACACAGGCGCCGACTCGACACGTGCCACCTGCTTCTTCCGAATAATGGGCTCGGGGTCCTCTTCTTCTGTAGTTTCGCCGTCCGCTGTGACCAGTTAGCTCCGCACAAAGTTCGAGCACATTCTATCAACTCACTCTCGTATCCGTCAAGCTCCGCCTCGTGCGATTTGGAGAGAGCCGAGTCGGACGGTTCTGGCGTTATGGTCGGAATGGGTACCGTCAGGTTAGGCAAGAGAGGGGTAGCCAGCATGTTTTGTGGCACCTGGGCCTCATCCTCTGAATCCCCAAAGAACTCTTGCGGATTGCCGTCGTAATCCCAAAAGGACTCGGCCGAGGATGACTCATTGCCACGCTCAATCTCGATACGGAACGCGGGGTCCAGCTCGTTGCGGTCAACAAAGATATCAGGGAACAAGTCGGCATTGGATTCGGTCTCGGTGGTTGTCGAGTCCGAGTCACTGTCGTCGTCCGGAATACCGGCAAAGCGAACGTGACGCTTGACGCTGACCTCGGTCTCGACGGACGGTTCGGGGACTTGCTCGATAATTGTGCTCTCCTCGTGCTCCGACAGACCGCCCCAGCTCTCATTGTCGTCGGCGGCATTGTCGTCGTCGTCCTCGGGCTCGTCATCGTCATCCTCTTCGTCGTCACCGTCTTCGTTCTGCTCGTCTTCTTCGTCCTCCTCTTCGTCTTCCTCGTCGGCATCGTGTTCTTCCTCCTGAGCAATCACTTGGGGCCGAGGGGTGTGTTCCAATGGACGCTTGCGGGAAGCTCGCGTCAAGAGGTGCTCCTCCTCGGCCGCCATGACATTGTGCTCGTCATCTTCGCTCTCGCTGAGGTCCTCGACGGCCGAGTAGCCTTCATCGTCGGAGAGGTCGAGGGAGGAGGAAGATGTGGAGGAGACGGAAACCCGACGCTTGGTAGCCTTGAGCGGCGTCCGCGGGTTTTTTAGTTTGATGGTCGTCCGAGACATGGTGGGGGACTGGGTGACCGGGGGTCTGTAGTATAGGTTATGAGTGGTGGTTGGTATGATGCAAGCGGCGGTGAACCGTGCGCGGAGCTAAGATTCGACAAGATCTCTTTGGTCTGGTGTTGAAATGGGATTGTCCCAGTCGAGTTCTTTTGTAATGTCGTGTAGCTATAAAGCTGTTGAGGGGTCTTTTAGGTTGGTGTCTGCCGAGGATCTCGAGAACAGCAGAGAAGAGCGAGACAAGAGACGGGGTCGGATTTGGGGTGGGGATGGAGTGACTTTGTGACGGTAGATATCGGTGGGAGCCGTACGGTATGGAATCGTCAGGTGGGCCAGTGGAGAAACGGGGTATGCTCCTCTCTCTTCGGGGCTGTAGGTCTGGACTATCTGTCTGTCCTCTTGTCTTTATAATGTTGTCTTGTCAAGTTGATGGTATGTTGCAGTTGATTTGATTTTGGGTAGATGGCCAGATGGAGTAAACCTCGTTTTCCGGGCCTCGGTTTTCCAAGTCCTGCTCTGCCTTGCACCGGGACACTGCGCGTCCTATGCCCTGTCGCGGTATGTGCAAATGCTGTGCAGGGAAGAGGCCTTTTTCGAGGTTGAGAAAAGCCTGGATAGCTTCTGATAGTCGAGTGGTTATGGGTAGGGAGGGCAGGGATAGTGGGGAGATCTGGACTCTCTCGTTGAGGCTGCTGGACTGCGGGCGCTGTGGAAGGCACCCGCAGTGGGCGCTTAGAGCTCAACGACGGCCGAAGGCATCTTGAAAATCTCGACTGAAGCTAGTTTATGTATGCTGGTGTGGATTGAGAGGGCGACTTCGTTGTCTTTCTTTTTCTTTTCTGGGGTGGTTGTGGTGGTTGTGGTTGGGATGTTGAAAGGGAAAAAAAAGAGGGAAAACAAGAGGAAGGGAGAGAAGGAGGGGAGGGGAGCAGTGCTGCGGTCGAGGTCTGCGGTCCGTCGTCAGCCAACGAACAGCAAAAGCGCAACCCAAGCCCAGGGAAACTTTTTTTTTTTTTTTTTCGGCTTCACTTCACAGTTCAGGTTGCACGGCACCTCCCATTTGCTCCGTGGTTCCCTCGCTCGCAATCTTTCACTCGGCTGCTGCCACTCTTGGAGCCAGTAAAAGACTGCTGTAACTGTCGTAACGGCAGGTAACGAACCGTACTGATTGGGTTTGTCTCACCTTTGTCCATCTCTGATTGGTTCAGATGGGTATTGCTGGTTCCACTGGCTCCACCACAACCAAATCGTGGGGCAGCTTCAGTGGATTCATGTCGTGCGTTCCGCTCTCGAAAAAAAAGGAACGAAACCTTGAGGTTTTCTCCCCCGAAACTGCAGTGGCACTTGTCGCGGCCCGGTTGGCTGCACTGTTTCGCGCCAATGTGAACGCCAATTCGCCATTTGGCAGCTGGTTGAGATCCATCAAGAGAGTGGAACAGACTAAAATTTCACGAACGGTGACAAGCACTGCAAACTAACAGACCCCACCCCACGTTGTCATCTCCTTCAGTTCCGACTTCACCTCTTGGTGCTGCAAATGGGAGATGGGTGGGAATGCACGTGAACCAGGTACCTCTAGGTAGGTATCGCGAGTCTTATCCGTCTTGATACTTATCTGGGCTCGAGTCTTGTCACCGCTCTTTTACGTTGTTGGCTGCCAGGCCGCAATTGGAAAAGTTCTAGAGACCGTAGGGACGGGATGCAAGGAGGACAGAGCACATGTCAATCACGACACCTAGGCAGGATGTATGTACATGTACACCAGCTTTTACACATTGGATATCTGGCACGAGACTTGTGACACTCGACATCTTTCTTCTTCAAGCTGTGAAAAGAAGGGACCGTCGCTTCCCGAGACAACAAACGACTGGACATTATTCCAGCCGACCAGCGCTGTTCTCGGCAGGGGAGGACTGGAATTTGAGGCTCCGCGATCCGCGAATTGCAACACACCCTCAAACTCGGGTTCAAGGTTCCCCGCATTCAAGACGGACATTCTCCGTTTGTCCAAGGTTGCCTGCCTGCTTGCTGCTTTCGGTCGGATGCCAGCTGGCGTGCTTGCTTTTGCAGCTCGAGGAGATTGATGGAGGGGTAGAACTCAACGGAAGGGGCATCGGAGTACTCCGTGAGATGGAGGCAAAAAAATAAGGTTTCTTTCTTCGCCTCGGTTGCTGTTCCGCTTTCCAGAGATCGCAAGCGGCGAGTCCATCTTTCGGCCCTGTTGTAGTCTACGTAGTTCTTAACCGAAGCAGTCATCCCAGTTCCGACTTGTCCTTCCTACGGCTCTGTTTCAGCCAATGCCATGATCTCCCGTTGTTACTCTGGTGTGGAATACGGAACAAAATCTCACCCTCCTGAACGTTGATTGGTGGTGCCAGTTTTCCCTCTGGCCTTCTCAGGATGGCCTCTTGTCCTTCTCACGACGGACGTCGGCATATTGACGAAAGTGCCAAACAAACCGAGGCTGGATCCATCAGGTGAAAGTTTGCCGTGTCGAAAGAAATGTCACAAAGTTTCCTTGTCGTCATGACCCGAAATCTGTTGGGTAATTTCAGATCCCGGCTACAGCGCTAGCAACGGCAGAGTGAGGCGTACGGCAGAGGTCCAGGGGAAGAAGTGCATGCAGGAGACGCCAGCCCATTGCATTTGGGGGTCCTTCCATGACGAGGAGCCCATCGTACCTTTGGTCTTTAATGAATATCGCTGACCTCGAAATCCAAGGCCTTGGGTCTGGAGACAGATAGGTTCAAAACCGGCCAGCACTTCACTTCCTACCTGGAACGACTGGAAGCACGCAAGCTCCCTTCCTTTGCTTCTGATATCTTCCTCTGGCACGTCTGGCTGCAGGCTTTTTACGCCAGGGACCCAGGCGCCCGTCTTTGCCATCGTCTAGTCTCCACCGTGACGTTGCCCGCTGTGGATGATCCCGATGATGCCAGTCGATTGGACTGTTCAAACTTCTCAAGTGGAGGCGTTGATTTGGCATTGTGTAATATGTTCGTCCAGCATCGATCATGGTTCATACAAGTACGCTACTCTTGTTATTTCGGCAGTCTGGCCAGAGCTGTTCCGGATGTCAAACCCAAGATTAGAATGCGACAGGAGACCATGTGGTCAGTGCGCTCAATCGTGGTTTTCTTACCCCACACTGCTGATGACCCCGTATGTACGTAACGGAATGACTTGCAGGCTGGACCGCTTGCCTGCCGGTGCAACCTTGTTGAACTCAGGTCCATCCTGACAGATCTTATCTTATCGTGGTTGCTACGGAAACTTGTTTGTGGTGTGCTGTTGATCGCCTTGCTTCTTCCAATCCCCCTCGTCAACACTTTTCCCAAAGCTGACTGGTTGGACGACACTCAGTTTGCCTCGCCGCGTCCGGGATGATGACTTGCAGTTGAGGCTCGCCAATCTGCTGACTACCCTCGTTAATCGATCACCACCGGTCGCGTTCAGCTAACCGACCACAACGCGAGAACAAGCACTAGCTTGAAATTGAAATACAATAGCCCGTGAATCCAAATCAACATCATTTCTCGTCTCCCGAATGCGGCGCAACATCCCTTCACATTACACAACCTAAACCCACGCATTTCACCGCGGACAACATGGACACTCAGCCAACATCACACAGCCTTTTTGAGGTTTACCTTCGACTGCGCCCAGCCAACACCGTTTCGACGTCTGGCGATCGCTTCCTCGATGTCGATGTCCCAGAACCCAGCGAGAGCGCACCCAAACACATCACCCTGAACCCGCCAGCCGATCGACGCCGAGCAACCGAAAAGTTCGCCTTCACCCAGGTCTTTGAGGAAGATGCCACACAGCTTGATGTGTTTCACTGTACTGGGGTCGCCGGCTTGGTGGAGGGCGTGCTTGCTCCCTATGGTGATGGAACGGATGCCTTGTTGGCGACGCTGGGAGTGACGGGTTCTGGAAAGGTTTGTTCAGTACTGTGATGCCGCGGAAAAGAGAAGAGATACTGACGATGGAATACCACTGCAGACACACACCATGCTGGGAACACGATCCCAGCGCGGCCTCACCCAAATGTCCCTCGACCTTATCTACCGCTCGCTCGGCCATCGCGTCCTTGATCCCTCTACATATCCAAACCTCGAGCAATCCATCAGCGCATCCGATCCGTCAGAAGCCAATATCCTTCCAGCCACAGCCTACCTCGAATCGGTCTATAGCACAGATCCAACGATGTCCTTCCTGCGCGGAAGCGGCAATGGCCGATCGACACCTCTACAAGTACGACCTTCTGCTTCTTTTTCCGCTCGACCGTTCGCTTCTGTCTCTTCTCGAGTCCCAACCGACAAGCCCATTTGTCGGACCTCTTCTACTTCTTCCGTGGCGCACCAGTTTGGCGCAAGAACTCCAGCTGGACCCTTTCAACAAGCCCAGCGGTCGGCCAGTATCCGACTCGTCGTTACCGAAGAACCAGAACAAGAGGAAGAAGAGTCAACCGTGTTCTTTACGCCTCCTAGTCGAGCGGGAACCGTGACTCCCACGCAAACAACAACAAGCAGGCTTCCGTGCCCAAGTCCGAGTGGACTTGGTAACTCTTCTCTCCAACGAAGTAGTCGGCTTCCAACCTACCAACCCCAGTGGATTGGAACTTCTCCTTCTAAGCTACCGCAGCAGCTCCGGCCTGTTGCTTCTTCTATTCTTCCACGCTTCACAGCTACCTCTTCCCTCCGTTTCGCAACTATCACTGCAGCAACTAGACCCTCTAACCGTGATCAACAGAACGAATCGTCCACTCCACGCCGTTTCCGCCCTTCCACGCTTCCCCAGAACCCCGACATAAGCCATCTAACCATTCCCTTTGACGCGTCAGCCGAGTACGCCATCGTCATCTCCATGTACGAAGTCTACAACGACCGCATCTTCGATCTCCTTTCTTCCCCCGTGAAGTCGGCCGCCACCAAAGAATACCGTCGCCGACCCTTGCTGTTCAAACCCACCGAGCTCTCGCCGGACCGAAAAGTGGTGGCGGGACTACGAAAGGTGGTTTGCGGAAGTCTCGATCAGGCGTTGATGGTCTTGGAAGCGGGTTTGCAAGAGCGAAGGGTGGCAGGGACGGAGAGTAATACGCAGAGTTCGCGGAGTCACGGGTTTTTCGTGGTGGAAGTGAAAAAGAGGTTTTCCCTTGGTGGGCAGCACACTGGATGGTACGGAGGCGCAGGATGGGCCGGGAATTCTCTGACCATCGTCGACCTTGCGGGCAGCGAGAGGGCCAGAGACGCAAAGACAGTCGGACAGACGTTGGCCGAGGCGGGCAAGATCAACGAGAGCTTGATGTATCTGGGGCAGTGTTTGCAGATGCAGGTGGCAGGTGGGAAGGAAAAGGTATGTCCTCGAACACCTTGATGGAAAGGGGTGCTAACGAACCGTAGCCGAATCTGGGCTTGATCAGGCGGTGCAAACTGACCGAGCTGCTGTTCACCAACTCGTTCCCCACGGGCAATAACCAGCAACAGCATCGAAACCCGCAGAAAGGCATCATGATTGTCACCGCTGACCCCCACGGCGATTTCAACGCGACCTCCCAAATTCTTCGCTACTCTGCCCTCGCAAAGGAGGTCACCGTTCCTCGCCAGCCGCCCTCGTTTCCTCCCCCCAACTCCTTCTCCAACTCGTTACCGCCTATTGGCAGTCCAAACCATCAATACCTCTCCTTCCAACAGACTCTCGAATCCGCCGCTCTCGAGATCTCCAGACTACAAGAAGACCTCACCTACCTCCGGCACGCTCTCGACTCGGAACGGAGCCTACGCGAACAGGCTGAAGCCCATTTGTTGAGCATGGAAGATAAGATGGTCGAGCTGGAGCAGGCAATCCGCGAAGATTGTGCGGAGGAGTTCGAGAAGCGTCTGGAACTGGAAGTCAACAGGTGGAAGACGATTGTAGATGGGGAGAGGGAGAGGGGGGAAGAGTTTTGGCGGGGGAAATGGGGAGTGTTTGAGCGGATGGTAGAGGCTGATGGGGATGTCGACATGGATATGGACGTGGACAGTCCGAAGAAGCCAGAAAACACGACGCTGGTGGAAACGAGAACAGTGGAAGATAGAGAGGCCCGACGACAGCTGGAAATCCTTGCCGACGAAAACGAGCGGCTACAGAGGGAGAACGAATCACTTAAACAAGCTTTGGCAGCCTGTATCGATCCTGCCAAGTCAACCAGCAAGAACAAGTCGCCCAGTCGCAGGTCACCTAGTCGTAGTCGGAGGAAGAAGGCTCAACTGAATTATGCGGAAGATGATGATGGGTTCCTTCAGGAGTTGAAGAGGGATCAAGGGGATATGGCCATGGATGGGTTTGGGGAGGGAAACGGGGTTAGTGGAAGTCCGACGAAGAAGAAGAGGATCAGGAGGTTGGGAGCAAAGAAATGGGGGCAGGGGTTGGATGATGATGATCCTTTCTAGAGGGCACCAGCTAGCAGCGTGGTGTCAAAGATGGATCATGTCGGGTTATTTGTACGAGCACAGGATATATAATGGCTTCACTAAGCGTGCCGGGTGATGAAGGGAATTGCATTTGTTTATACCCCGTTGTCAACATCAGGCATAAGGAAGACAATGAATCAATGTTGTTACCGTCAAGGACCCTTGTCTTGCCTGGCCATCTAGGAACGTCTCCGTCCTGTCGTTCTGTACACAACTTGAACTGGTAGCAAGGCCTACGACGGGGTACTTGTATGGACATCCCGTCGCTGGTCAAGGTAGTCTGACTCCCTTGTGGTTGCCCAACAAATGGCATTTGTACCAAGAGGCTCGCAGGCCAACACCTATTGTCCTTGCAGAAATAACTTCCTCCAGCTACAAACTCGGCCGCCTGTTTCAACAACCTCAAACCAAGACGACAATACCGATCCGAACACCAAACCCAAGCCGGAACGCCAGAACGATTCCCCTACCCCCATCGACAAGAAGGAATACGGCAACTTTGCGTTTCCCTCCCCCCAAACCCGACGCCGCCTTTGTTGCCCTTGGCCCTGGCCCGCCACTTTAGAGTCATCATCTTCATCCCCCGCGGTACCGTGCAAGCACCACGCTCACCGGCACCAGCGCCAGCCCAGCCCAAACCTCAGCACCCACACTCCTCTAAAACCAGCACCAAGGCCACCACCCACAACCGGGCGCCTAAACATCAACTCCCACAGCCCCACTCCCGTTGCGGCCCCTGCCGTCCCGAATCGTACTGCACAAGCAGTCTACACCGATTGACTGCACGCAAGCCACCTTGATCACGACGCTTTATAGCTTACAGCTCAGCCTACGGGAGTGCGAGTTAATCAATGCTTGGTTTGGCTCGAAGGATACATGACAGGGGCATGGGCATGACTCGTGAGGTAGATGTTGGAAAGCGTCAAAAGTCTGGTGTCAGGCGTTGAGGACACTTTGCGAAGGCTTTGCTGGATCATTCGGTCGTTGTCATAGACTCACTGGATAAAAGACGAATCAGGAAACAGGAATCTCGACTTAGATGGCACGCTATCTGTGTCGCACTGAATTTGTGGTTGACCAAGATAGTAGGGTAGCAGAGATGAATTGTCTGTATGTCCACTAAACCCTTGTAACCTACAGGGGCGATTTCCAAATCCTGGCTCAATCAGCCTCGCCGCGACCAATACACGACGACATTTCCTACTACTCCCTCGCCTCCCGCTTGAGTTGTTCTTGTGCCTCCTGTCTCTGCTCTTGTTCAACTTCAAGGTGCGCTCGCAACCACCGCGCTATTGCCGCATCGACAGCTCGAGAGGCATTCTGTTCAATCGAGTTGTTGTTTGGTCCTTGCCGTCCCGGAAGTTCGAACCCTATCATCCAGGCCATTCGGTCTACTTCGGATTGCGTAGACGGTCTTGGAGCTGGCTCGAGCAACCAGTCTTCAGCAGGCAAAGTTCGCGCCTCGCTCAACTCTTGCTCCGTCACCTGAGCGGCAATCTTTTCGATCAAAGAGGAGGCCACTTGGTTCTCGGCCGGCTTTTGTTCGACAGTGTGTGTGGCCGCGGTAGCCCGTTGTTCTTTAACCGTCAGGACACTGCTCAGTCCCGAAACCTGGCTGGTTAGGTCCTTGACCTTGTCCTCCAGTTTCTGACTAGCACTCAGGGCCTCTTCAGCGACCTTGATGTTGGCCTGGGCAGCAGCCAGGACCTCGGTGAGCCCCTTTTCCACATCGGACATGCGCCCTTTGAACATGGACAGCTCCTTGGTCGGTTGCTCAGCCTTGACGCTGGCAGTCTGGGCCTCTTTGAGCTTCTTTTCGAGTTCGGCGACGCGCTCTTCCGAGGCAGACAGCTCCTGGGTCTTGTTCGCAAGCTGCGTCTTCAGATCGTTCTCAAGCTCGGACATTTGCGCTTGCAAAGCAGGCGGCTCAGCTGGCATATTGACTGTGGTGATTGTAGTAGTTGATGCGCCAAATGCAGACGCGACGGGGCAAAATGATTTCGCGGTTGTGAGGGCGGGAAAAGAAGTGTGGGGGGTGCAGGTGAAGGGAGGTTTGGGACCCACCTGCGTACAAGGACGTGGACTCGGGCATGTCTGTAGTGTAAGAATACCAGAAATCGCATGTAAGACGGTGATTTCAATGTTTCTACCAGATCCTCTAGCTTGGGAAAGATAAAGGTACCTCTATGGATAGGTGACAATCTCCCGGTGTAGCAAGGCGTCCCCTACGGCATATCTATCAAGACCGTGTTCGTTCCGGCAGTAGTGCAGTAGCGGCAGCACTTCTGATGGCAGAAAAGCTTTGGGCTAAGTAGAGTTGAAAGAGGTTCCCGCACTACTACCAGAACGAACACGGCCCAAGTCATGTCTGAACCCAAAAACCGATGGTACCTGCATAAAATTACCTGTAAAACCTCGTCCCTCGCATCCCACAAGTCATATTCCAACGGCCGACTCCCCTGACAGCTGGCGCGTTAAAACCGTGCGCAGACTCTTTCCCCCCGACCGATGAGTTGCATAAGCGCTGGACGAGTCTGACCCAAGAACAGGGATTCAATTCACCTTGTGCATCCGTCGGGTACGGGAGGATCTGCTTCCTGGAGTGCCAGAACCCCGACGATCTCTGGATAACCAACCAAACGTGGGAGTCTACTCGATTCGGAAAGTGTGCAAGGTCGTCGTTGTTATCATGTTTGATCGTGGTGTTTGTCGTGGCTGCAGTTGCAAGACTTTTCCGTTGGGGCGCAGGCCTGGAGCACCATTGTCGCAATCGTTAGTACTCTGTGCACCTTGTTTTCCTTGCCAGTGGACTGTAGGGGGCTGATGCAAACTCACTTTGTTGCAGGGCATCGGCTCGTTCAGAGGGGTGGAATCGCTCGAGATTTTCAGCGCTCCTGAATGGAGGTGGCAGAGGTCGTAATGATTGTCGGCGTTGGAGGTCGCAGCTTGCGTTGGTGTCTGGTGATTGTAGTATCGCGGATAATTTTTTGGGCCAGGCTGTAGGGGTGCACACTGGACTAAACTTTGGGTGCAGACCCAATATTAGAGTTTGCACTATGTAATAATCTTGGTACGTCGGGCTTTGCACTATGTTGTAGTTTTAGTACATTACCTCGGACTTTGCACCATATAATAATGAGGGTACATTGGAGTTTGCACCATGTTGTAGTATTAATATATTGCCCTAGACTTTGCACTATGTAATAGTTAGGGTACATTGGAGTTTGCACCATGTCGTAGTATTAAAGTATTGTCCTGGACTTTGCACTATGTAATAGTTAGAGTACATTGGAGTTTGCACTCCTCTATTCTCTTTTGAGTTTGCACCGGCTCCTCCAGCTATAAAATTAACGTTTGCCCGCCTTAGACTACTTGTACTACGTGTATTCTTAACGTTTGCACTTGCTTTCAAGCTAGCAAGCGTATACATTATATTACGCAAATAATACAAACCCCGTACCCTGCGCAAACTTACCTACCTACTAACCGACAGGTAACGGATTTGACTTTGCGATTGCATTTTCAAAATTATCCAGGAACATAAGTATCTACTACGAATCAACATCACAACATCAACATGCATGTTCAATCACACCATCAACATACAAAGTCAACATCACAGGCGTTCAATCACGACATCACCGCAGAACATCAAAAGGGTTGCACAAAAACAAGTCTGCATCATATATCAGTTGTCTACTCGACGCTAGAAAAAGTATCTCGGCTAGAAACCATCTCGGTCCCTGGACATCCAAAGACGCAAATTCCCAAATCCGGAGCCATCAGCACTCGTCTCGGTGTTGACCTCTGACTGAACACGGCCGAACGGGACAAGAGCGCCAGCCGGGGCAACATGGCCAGCCGGGGCAACATGGCCAGCCGGTGCAACAGGACCAGCCGGGGCAACATGGCCAGCCGGTGCAACAGGACCAGCCGGGGCAACAGGACCAGCCGGGGCAACAGGAGCATTGGGGGGAGCCGGAGCATCATCCAGGTCCATGGCGTTGCTGTCAGAAGCGCCAGCGGGATTCGGCGGACGATTCACCAACCGATTGCCCATGCCAGTAAAAACCTCGGATGCCTTCAAGCGCTCGAGATTCGTCCGGACGTCGTCCAGCGTCCTAGTCAGAGGGTCATGATGTCTGTCACCATGATTATGAATATTTCTGACCTGGATCGCCAGACTCTTCGTGATGGGGAAACCATACGGGGGTTCCATGTTAGTCACCAGATCAGGCCATGCCATCGTGGTGCGGACAGGAGGGAGTCCAGAGCGGTACTGGACGAGATACTTCCAGTCCTCATGACGCCTGTCATCCCCAGATACCTGTCTCTGCTTGCAGGCATCGAAGAAGTGGCTCAGTGTATTGCACACTGGGCAACCGGGAATGTCTCCATTGAGCGACGCGTACCCACAGTCACGAAGCTCGTGAGTGTCGGCATCCTCACGCGTATGGAGCTTGCAGTGAGGGCAGCTCACAGGGCTGGGCTGTGGCTTTGCAGCTTTGCGCCTTGGCAAGCCCAAAACAAACGCACTGGTGCCCGCCTTGGCCTTGGGCTTCCTAGGAGGAAGAACACCCGTGTTGACGTACTGCTCGGCAAAGGGGTCATTTGCGACCGCAGCACCGACCGCCGCCACTTGCTGCAGCACTTGGGATGGGTGGCCGACAGCAAACAAAGAACCATCATCAAGCGGCACCGAGAAGTGCGAAGGATTGGCGTTGTTGGCCAAAAAGCTTTCCAACTGGTGCGTGCCAGTTAGATGGGTCATGGCAGGTGGTGCAGCCGCCCTGGTCAGAGCCTGCTGCTGGCCATCCTGCTTTGGCATCAGCGCCGACACCATGCTGTCTGGCAGGCCAGTGCCAGCGAGCGCCTTGCGAGCTTTGCTAGGCTGGCTCTTTCCAACACCCTGAGGTCCCTTGGACGGGTGGTTCTGGCCAGCGTGCCCGTCTTTGTGGCCGCCATAGCCGCCATGACCACTGCGACCGCCGCGACCGCCGTAGCCGTCACGAGCGTTGTCGTTGTGGTTGTTGCTGTTGTTACCGCGCTGGTTGCGGCGCCTGCGGCTCTTGTTGTTCTTGTTGTTCTTGTTGTTGTTGTTGTTGTTGTTGTTGTTATGACCGCGTCCGCCACGATCATTGTCGTCACCACCACCACCACCTCCACAGAAATTACCGGTATGGTAGTTCCCAGCGTTGAAACCGCCGTTACCGTCGTCTCCAGCAGCAGCAGCAGACATTGTCTTGGTTCGTTGGGAGTGTGTTCTTTTTTTTTTGGGTGGGTGTGGTGTGGTGTGGTTGACAGGAGGAAGAAGGAGGGGTAGAAGATGGGCTGAACGGGAAAAGGTCTTTGGGGGGGGGGGGGGGAATGCCAATCTGAGAACAGAGTGATCCGTCGTTTGATGTACCCAAGTACCTTGAACGGAGGCCGGACTCGCGCAGCCGAATCAGTCCAAGAAGGAAGGTACGGATGGTAGGTAGGGTATGAAACAGAAAACTCTGAATTCAAGCTCCCACAATTCATGGAATTCATGGAATTCTCCAGCTCGTGAATCCGCTTTCTTCTATATTGTTAACTTGCGCAGTTCCTTGAAATGTCTCCAAACACGTCTGGAAAGAGAGACGCAGCGGACACGCCGTCCCGGTCAAAGGGGCGCAAGCGCTCCGCCAGTTCCGGGAGTCAGGATGAAGTAAGCTTTCCCAAGGCAGCCAGTCTTCAGGGGGCCGGCAGATCGAAACGACGCCGCTTAAGCGATGAGGACCGGTCCGCTTCCACTTGGGGGACGCCGCCGAGTTACCAGCACCCTCTTTACGTGACACCTATGTCCTATGTCCCCAGTGGCCCTACTTGCACGAGCCATAATGTGCCGTCCACCAGTCCGCTTATTGATCTCAGTAACGCGGCCCGGATGTACCAACAAGGTATCCGGGAGGTTTCCAATGCCCTGGACATTGTGGCCGCTGCCCCGAAGGAGTCTGTACAGCATGACGATCCCTTCTCGTCGCCTATGCCAGTAGACTGCAGCTCTCCGCAAAAGGCGTCGTCCAATTATGCGCCGTCCTCTATGGTGTTGGACAAAAGACATGCCTCTAGCGATGCGGCGCTGGTCGAGTCTTCAGATGGCGAAAGGCCCCCAAACCCGGGTCAGGGAGAGTCTTCAGATGGAGAACAGCCCCCAAACCCGGGTCAAGGCGAAAATGTGCAGCCGCCGTCGCCGGATGTTCCGCATATTGACGTCCAGCCGCAAAGGAATGCGGCCAACAAAAGGCCCGTGTTCCCTGGCCATTCAGCACCTTTGCTATCATTGAGCCAGATGTTCCAGCCGTCTAGCGACGAAGAACGCGAGTGACAGCGTTAATCTGCCATCCCAGCGTCATTCTGTCACTGTGACAAAGACCAGCATGGTTTGGTTACGACTCAACTGCAGTCCAGATCCCATGCTTCGTGATAGCATTAATATACTGTCAATGTCTTAACCTCCCCGTCGACCTGTGCCAAGTGATTCATCCAATGTTAAAGTTTGTCCGCCGACGCCCCTGTGAAATGAATTATGACTTTTTGAAGAAATCCATCTCGCGACCCGATAGCTAGTTTGGCCCTTTCGAAGGTACATATCCTGTTTTCTACACTCAGCACAGATGCTACCCATCGAGCATTAAAACAACAAGCCGCTCGTGAGGTCTGCTTCATTCTTCAAGTTGGGCTCAGGAATGGCCGAATGTGTACAACATCAGGTAGTCAATCTGCAACTCGCGCATGGACATGACTAGCATTCATAGCATCTGTTGTCAAATGGAAGCGAACACTAACGTCTAAGGTATTCGTGCAAAGGGGCGCTTTACAATAGGGGCGTAGACGGCGGGTTTTGGAGGTGTGGGCAAACGTGTATTTTTATATGCGAAATGACAGTTGCAAAGTTTACATATGCTAAAGACGGGCAAATGAACTAGTTTACACCGGGTTGAACAAGCGTGGGCAAACGTTCATTTTGTACTAGGAGTAGCTGGTGCAAAGTTTGCATACACTAACCAATATGGAAAATGAATAGCTTTGCAGCGGGTTTTAGAGGTGTGGGCAAACGTCGATTTTGTACTTGGATTGCCCAGTGCAAACTTTGCATACACTAAAATGGTACCAACAACGCGGCGCGGGCAAAATTTGCCCGCGTGCTGGGTTGGTATGTGTAAAAGTACATTCTGTATTGGCAGCGCTCATCGTTCCTTCCTCCATGATGATCCTTCCCAGCTACTGTCGCGAACTCGCCGCACAAATGACAATTTCAAATTTGCGCGCTCGCTTGTTTCTTGAACCATATGTAGTTCTTCACCTTGAATTGCACAGTCATTACGCCGCCACCATGTCATCGAACTACGTTGCAAGGCTTCAACAAATCTGGTCGCTGGTTCCTCAGCAGCCGGAGGACAACGACATTTGGGACACTGTCCAGGTTGCATTGGGGACTCTCACAAGGGACCTCGACCATGAAATTCGCCAGGACGATGAGCGGAAGCGACTCCTTGTTGAACAAACGGAGGCCCTTGACAATCAAGATCGAGAGCTTGCCGAAAAGGAGCAGGCTCTCCAGGAGAGGGAGAAGACTCTCCTGAACAAGGAGCAGGCTGTCCAAACAAGGGAGCAGATTGCGCAGACCAGAGAGCATGACCTCGATCGAAGAGAACGGGCTGTCAAGGACAAGGAGCACCAATTGGAGCTCCATGCAAAGCTTGACTTGATCCTCGAAAAGATGGACAACAATGCTACGAGAGAGCAAATCCAATCTCTTTCGGACAGTGTGCAGAACATGGCCAGCCAGCAGCAGGTCACGGCTACCCAAGAGCAGGTCAAGGCCGTTTCCGATGCCTTGGACACTGTCTTGAACGACAGTGCGACCAAAGAGCAGGTCGCGGCTGTTTCCGAGGCCTTGGACACTGTCTTGAACGACAGTGCGACCAAAGAGCAGGTCACGGCTGTTTCCAACAGCCTGAACACCATGTCAACGCAAGTACAGGCAATTCCAGGAGTTTGTGAAAAGGTTGACGCCATCTCAGACCAACTGAAGCAAAGCCTACAGAACGTGGTGCAATTCATGGAAGGTGTCTCGCACATGTTGAATGCTTTGTCGGACCAACTCAGTCAGATATGGAACGATAGCTCTACCCAGGAGCTTGTTCAGGGGGGCACGAGCAAGCTCTGGGACCAATTGCTAGAGATGTCATCTGCTATGGAAAGCCAGAGCTCGGAGACACTTGACTTGATCTCAAGCCAGATCAGTCAGGTGAACAATGACAGGGCTACCAAAGAGCAGGTCCAGTCTGCTCTGACCAAGCTTGACAATCTGTCGGAAAACGGCGCTACCCAGGAGCTTGTTCGGTCTGTCAGCACGACGGTCGGGTTAGTCTTGGCCAAGTTCGACGGAGTGGCATCCAAACAAAACTTGAAAGTCCTTTACGGTCTTTACCGCCACCTTGCTCTTCGACTCGCAGCAATGGCAAATGATCACGACATCAGACTGTCTGACATTGAGTCTGATCTGCAGAATGTGTGGAGCTGGGTAGAAAACCTCTGTGATGGCGATACCAATTCCCTAGCTGTTGTCCTGAAAGAAGTAAGGACAAGCAAGGACTGGGAAGATGCCACTTACGGTGCCCTTGCTCGTTTGGAAATGCAATTGCAGAAGGCTGATTGCTTAGAGCAACAGTTGGACGAACTCAAGAGCACAAATCTTGGGATGGAAAAGCAGATCCAAGACCAATGTGCCAGTCTGGACAAGCTCAACGAGGAAGTCAGTCGTTCGCAGGAATTGCTGGCCACCAGACGTTCCTGTTCAAGACGGTCTGGCCCCCCCAAGAACAACCGTCTATGGGTACAGTGTGTGGATGACTTGTTGAGCCGGTTCGACATGTTTGTTCTTGCGGACACACAAGAGGGTCCCCTAGAGGCCATCTTCCATCAGTTCTGTTTGATCATGTCTGATCCAGATGTTCGTGCCTTGAACAATTTGAACCTTTTCAACGTCGGAGCACCAGTAGATCGCTGGTATTGTTTCAAGCGCGTTATCCACTCCTGGCCTACTACTGATGCCATCTCATACGATGGACGGTGTGACATGCATGACCAATGTTTGCAAGTCAAACGTGTTCGGCAAGGCCTCGGCCACGCTTTGGTGTTTCGCTAGTAGTCTAGTGTACTTGAAATAATAGTTTCTCTTGAATGCGTGAATGATGACTTCTCCCTTCTGCTGTGATGCATGTTGACTCCTGTACGACATCTTCTTGCGCCCTTCAAAGATGTACAAATAGGTAGCAGCCCGGAGATACCAATGAACTTTTATACAAACACCTGTAGAGGTACCCAGCCCCAATCTCGAAACGGCCTGGTAGGTGATTACCTACCTACAGGTAGATACCAACTGGCACACGTCTGCACGGGCCTCCAACAACATCAGTCCTTCGTGTCCGCCAAACAAAATCTTACCCCGCTACCTCGATACAACAACCACAACCACAACCACAACCACAACCATAACCACAACCACAATATGAACGCGCCTAGTATGCCGCTGGACGCTCAAAAGCGTCGTAACCACATCATGTCAGAGATCAAGAAAAGTTTCAAGCTTGAGGACACTTTCATCCATCGCATGATCACGGACATGTTTGTTCCTCAGGCCCATGAGAGCTTATGGCAAGATAAGTTCGCGTCGGTCTGTCCTAATGTCCGTTACTGGGTGATTGACTTTCACGTCGTCAAGTGGTTCTGTAAGTTTTTTGTCGATGGCTTTCACGAATCATTCACTAACCTGTCACGTATCGCTCAGTTTCTCCAAATATGCCTCTTTTTACGACAAACTACCCTGCCCCTGCTCCTTCTGCGGAAACTTCGCCGGAATATGCGGCGTTCTACGAGGCTAAACTTCAAGAGCGCGACGGCACCTTTGTTGTGCCTGATACGGCCATGTGGCGCCAGCTGAGACCGGAGGTCCGCGAGGGTCACCCAGGCGTGTATGGACGCTTCCAGATCGTCCTCTCCAGAGAGCTTTCTCCAGCCAACAGGATTTGGCATGAGCTCGAGAGTGAGGGCCGACAGGTCACGATCGCCAACTTGGGGCTTGTCCGTGTCCGCATTAGTCTGGACGTGACCCAAAATGCTGTTGTTTACCAACTTGGGTACATGACAAAGACGCCATTGACAAACCCTAATGTCAAGCTGGCGGTGGGTCAAACCTGGCTCAATCTTGTCGGATGGGCTTGCGATGTTCTCTTGATGTCGCACAACCCACAGTTGCAGCCTAGCTACCATGTGTGGCTCGAAAAGCACGTGGTCAATGGCTGCCCTCCTCAGAACGAGTCGAGACTGGTGGAGATGGCGGATTACGCACGCATGGTTGCCATATTCAAGACCGCGCTTCCTCAGGTTGAGCATTTGCTCGCTGACACGGCCCTGGATGACATGACTCTTCAGCAGGCCGTGACTGAGTGCGAAAAGCTGTGCTCCAGCCTTGTGCTGCCATCCTGGAACATGCATGCTACCTCTAAGCTACTTGTTTGGGCTGCTTTGCACAACACACGCGCTGTCGACCCATATGTGTCTGAGCATTACCCTCGAAAGGGTCTGGGCGTGACAGTCGAGCTCCTCAGAGCCTTGCTCCCCAAGATCTGTCAGTGGAAGGGGCGTCAGTATGTTGAGCATTGGATTAAGGAGAATCCCTTGTGTCTGCCGCGTACGAGGCTTGAAGAATCGGTTGAGAGGGTCTTGAAAGACATGCCCATTTGAGTCAACCACAGCTTGACATTGATGGTGGTAGCTGCCCTGGCATGTTTCATTTTCCGTAGAGGTAGTCAAATCAACTGTTTACAGTGACCAAGTGCTTTGTTGCGTGAACATCTACCTATGCTGTGTGTCCCGAGCTTTGTAGTTTGTACCCTGCCTGCCCGCTCCAACCCTGCCTGCCCTAGCCTTGCCTTCCCGCTCTGTCAACTCCCCGCCCAAAACAAAATCCATGTAGGAGGAACTCATTGACAGAAAATCTCCCACTTTACAACCCATGCGATACCATAACCTCAATCATCAACCACTGCGACAATGACTTCCCCGCAAGATATTCTCACCGGATTCCTCGCCAGAAGCGTACCTGGCGCGCACATCGCTCATTTGCAAGGCCCCCATGGCTGCGGAAAAAGTACCGAATGGCTCTGTCGCATTTGGGACCAGATCGCACGCGATCCCGCCGCCACGCTTGTGTACATCCAGCCGACCGAGACACAAGTGACGCTGTTGAAAGCATACTTGAGCACCCAGTCCATCAAGGACGGCTTGGAGAGTGGCAGGGTGATCTTTCTGTCCATCGAATCAATGGTCGAGTTTTCGCGACAATCACAACAGCCACTCGGCCCGCGTGTCTGTATCGATCTAGAGGTCACCCCCTCTGCTCGCGGCGAGTATCTCGTCGCTCTTTTCTACCATATGGCAGAGGCTGCTGGCGAGTCTCTGGCCGTCATCACCATGGGTGCTGCCGACCATCGTTACCCCCGCTGCGCCCGGCCAGTCATCATTCAAGTCGACCCTCCCCACGAGCTTTTGCCCATGGCACCGCTAGGACCAGGTGCCCATGCGTCCAGTGTCATCTGGGAGACATTGTACGAGGGGTGCGAAGCTCAAGACAGAAACGTCCTTCTGTTCACGGATCTCCACACCGCTATGGACTTGAGAAACGGTTCTAGCTGGGAAAATTACGAAACGCGCTCGAAGGGCTTGCCAAAATGTCATTTCGTTACTCTGTCACGACGACGGCTTGACCAAAACCCCACCTTTGTCGCCTCTCTGGCAACCCTAAACGGGCCTACGCTGATTCAGGTTGAGCATGATGTTGAAGTACGGTTCCCGATCCGAAATGTCGCCATGGCCGTTTACCAAAGAACCAAGGAGATGACTGTCCTTGACAACAGATCAGGATTGCTGGTCAATAACCCCGCCGTCCTGGTCAGCAAGCAGGAGCTTTTAGCAAAGCAAGGTCTGGCTACCTACTCCTGTGGCCCAGCCCAAGTTGCTCATTACAGTGCACCTGACGGCCCGATCTGTGTGGATTCGATTCCGGATCAGCCACGGCCGCACGCTCATAGCAGCGAGTTGCTGGGTTTTTGCCTGCTGGCTCTCAGCATTCCCGCATATGATCCTATGGCCTACAACGTTTGTCCACTACTGTGGTACGAGGCCCTTCGTGTTGTCAAGCTAATGGGGCTCGTCGACCAGACGACCTCTACGCTCACTCCAGTCGGCCGGTTGACCCTGGACTTTGCCCAGCGAATGAGCATGTCCAATATTTACCCTGCAGTGTTCATAGCACACATGCAGCACATTCCCGCGTCTCCGGCTACCAAGCGGGTGGCTTGCATGATGGCAGCCATTCTGCATGCTGGCCAGGACTCGATTTGGCACCCTGCTGTCTCAGTCCAGACGTTCAATGCCCATCAGTTTGTCAGAGCCATGGTCGCTCAGAGCAGCCCTTCCTTTACTCTTGACAGGCTGTGGAGCGGGAGCCTGTGGGTAGCCGTCGCACTGTTGGAAGAAGTCATTCACACGTCAAAGGTGTTTACAATGCCCAGGGGCAGCGAGGATGACCGTTGGCCACTGAAAAATGGCTGCAGCTTTAACCACGCTGCTATGATCTATCGGCTGTCAACTTGGCTCGCACGAAGTACCAATAGCCTTGGTCCGCTCGACCAGGTAGATCCACATGATCAGCCTGAAGTTTTGCCGATTCAGAGGGCATTGCTGTCGGCATATGCACAAAATGTTGTCTTCATCCCCTCCGTCGATTCTTCGGCAGATACTGACGGACAGTTGTGCTCCTTGTCGTCGTTCCAGGCTGTTGAACCAAGTGAATCCGAAATGACGTCGCTCCGGCCCTACGTTATGAATCATGGTCGCGGATTGCTTGGCCTGTTTACCATGGCTGAACTCGATAGGGAGGCCAATTACACCATCTACGGCATTATGCCCCTACATTGCGAGGCCTTTGACGTCTTCCATGGTAGGATTCCCGGCTTTCAAGCTGGAGCGGGGTTCGACACCGATGACTTGAACAAGTTGGCTGCAGGACTCATGACGGTTTGGGGACGCAGGGTCATGGTGGACTAGTATTGAGATAGGATGTAATTTAACTAAGAGCTTTTCTCGTCCTGACATTGTAACTCACGTTTTGTCAATGCACACCAACTTGGTCAACTTTTTTTCTTTTTCACCTGGCGACATCACGACTCAACATCCACCACTAGTAGCGTAGGTAACTGTAGACCTGAGTATTCAACTCTAACCGTCTACAAATGGTAAGGAGCATAGATTGAACAGCATAAAAGTATCACGAAATCCAAGTCACTGGGAATTACATGTACAGATTCACATGGTAGAGCAACAGACATTCAAACCGATCAAAACAGCTGCAAAATGGGTTTTCGGGTATACCGAGGTTCACTCTATTCAATCTACATAGTCCTGCTTCACCCAAGACAACAACCTAGCCACTGTATTGTAGTCGGGTACTTCTTGCATTTGGGACATGGAGCTTTGCTCCGGTGCCTTCTTGCACAAACCCTCAACAGTTGACAGAAAAAGGCTATCGTCAGCTTCGTCTTGGAAGGGGTCTAGATCCATATCATCTCCATCCATGCCATGACTGTCATTGTCCAGTTCCATGTCATCATCCCCGTGTTGAGCCGTGAGTTGGGCCTGGAGGTTGTCGGCAAGATCAGCACACTTCTGCTCGACTTGTGCCTTTTCGGCCAACTGTCTCTTGAGTTCAGTGACTTGGTCATCCGCCTGTTGGCGACTGGCCTGGATCATCTTCACTGACTCTTGAGCCTGAAGCAAGTCTGCGTTCGATTGCTGAAGCTTTTCTGCCTTTTCGGCCAGCTGTCTCTCGAGTTCAGCGACTCGGGCAATGGCCTGTTGGTCCATGTCACTTTCCTGCCCCTGAACCAAGGCCGATTGCTCAAGGAGCTTCTGTTCGGCAGCCGAAGCGCGTGTCTCTGCGCCAGCACACTTCTGCTCGAGTTGTGCCTTTTCGGCGACCAAGGCTGCGTTCGATTGCTCGAGTTGAGCAACCCGTTGCTCGGCCGCGGTAGCCCGTTGCTCGAGTGAGGCCGTGTTATTCGACCCCATCAGCTGCGGGTCAACCAGACGTGCTTGCGTCAACTCCTCTTGGAGCCTAGCGATGGTGGCAGTTGCTTGCTCTAACTGCCTTGCTGTTTCTTCAGCTGGTGTCACCTCTGCCGGTGGCACATAGGCAGCATGCATCGGTTGCTGTGCAGCCTGAGCAGGCCGTCTCCGCCTCAGTTCAGCCTCCTGAACTTGCCTCTTATACGCCTTCAACAAGATTTCCTTGATGCGGTTGGCTGGCGGATAGGGATGCCCATGGATTGCCGACGTGGTCCACATGAACCTCAAATCGGCGGGCAGGTAATCTGGCATGCCGCACATGGCTACCCGATCCACAGCTTTCTTGATGTTGAGCAGGTCTGAGGTAGTGACGGTGTATGCCGCGAATGGCTCGCTGTCGTCCACGACAGGTTCTGGCAGCTGCCTGGGAATGGAGACACGCTCGAGTTCCTGTAGGAGGCGGCAAAGAGGAGGGTGGTCTTCCATCTGTTGACGGACATCTCGATGGATGTCCTCGGTCTTGGTCTGCCCGTGACCGTTCCTAAATGCGGTCGCCAACAGGCTGATGTAGCGATTGCCTGTGGGATCTTGTATGGGCCACCGACGGCGGTCGTTGGTACGACACTTGACGGCGTACTGGATGGCCAGCGCGAGGAGGCTAGGTGACCTGTTGAAGACCGGATGGACAACCAAGAATCTCAAATGGTCACAGAATCTTGATGGCCAATTCGGGTGAGTCACAAGGTGATTTCCCACCGCAATGGGTGGGTGTTCACTGCCGTATTCCAACAGCCTCTCTGGGCAGATGATGGAAATAGGCACACAGCCCATGAACTTTGGCGTCAACTTCCACAGTGACTGCATATAAGTGTTCCTTTCGCGGGAGTTGATGGCTTGTTCCAACTGCGCGCAATTCCCGTTGAGCCAGGCAGTGTCTTGCGCCGTCCAGAGAGGGTCGTCGACCAGCTCAATCAACGCGTTGTACTCTTGTTCGGTCGGGTTTGGTGCCACCTCGCGGAGCCTTGTTGTGGTCTCTCTGTGGGCTTCTTCGACACCCTCTGCCCAGTCCTTCAGCCGTGGCTGTAAGTCCTGTGGCAGGTTGCCGAAAAGCAACTCAAGCGTGTTGTCCGCAGCTGGCGCGTCCGGTGAGCCCGATGCAGGAACTGGAGCAGCTTGGGCGTCGGATGAGGTAGCGTTGCCACCACGTCCACGACCGCGTCCGCCTCGTCCGCCTCTTCCACTTCGTCCGGCGCGCGTAGACATGGTTTCTGGTGTTGCACGGGATCAACTTTCCGACCTTGAGACTGTGTGGGTTGAGTCGATGTTGTTGGTTGAATCAACTTTGTGGGTGGCGGGTGAAAGACGGGTGATGGAGCGATGGCGGGATGGGAAACCACAAGGTTTGCGGACACGGCTGGGCTGTGTGTTGCGGCAGAACTGACAATACGTCTTAATGGTAACAATACATCCATTCACTGTAAGAGATCACAAACATTTTCTCTCTGAAATACCTTTGGTCCACACGGCTGGCTTTTTGGTCTTGATGATATCACTCTTTGTCTACATGTATACGTCTAGTGGGTTAGGGTCACTGGAACACTCAATGAAATCGTTTGTATAAGAGTTACTAGACTAGGTATCTAAGGACGACGTGTCTCCGCTTCGTCGAACTGCATGGACACGATGCCATTACCAGGTGCGAACATGCTCGAAAACATGGCGGCGGGATTTGACTCGACCACAGGTACCTCAGTGACTGGCAAGAGCTCAACGTTGCTCCGAACGTAGAGAAGCATGTAACCATGCGGATCACCCTTCTCGCCAATACGCCAGTCGTCGGAGTAATAGTTGCACTTGGCCATGGCAAAGCGCTTCCCATAAAGAGGGCGCTCGTCAGCACGACCCCATGTATCAAACAGCCTGATCTTGCTGAACGATCTGCTGTCATGATCGTTGCAGTAGACGGCGGCGGCGACAAGGTTATACTTTGTAACCGTCTCCACCGGCTCGAGGCTCCCGTCGGGCTGCTGCACCAGATCTGTGCCCTCGACACGAAAGGTACGAACATCGTCGAAGCCTTTGATTCCCGGCCGCTTCGGTGTATACATGACTCGGATGATGGCGGCGTCTTGTGGGCCTTGCAGTACGCGAGGATGTTCGGGGTCCGTGCCACGAATCATGTAGTCGCGACTGATGTGCTCTCCGAGACTGTCGCTACCGTCCCACTCGACCAGGCTGGTGTAGCGCTGAATTAAAAAAAAGGCGATTAGTTGGATTATTACAGTTCAGGACCTGTCATGCTTGACTTACCACCGGTCTGTTGCGGGCTTTCCATTGCATTTGCCCTCCAACGAGTTGACCCTCGTAGGCTTGGGGCCCGAAGCGGCGGAACCCTGGGCGGTCCCAGAAGGTGCTGACCATGACTGGGTTCTCCATCAGCTCAGCCAGGCTGGTGTTGGGGCCAAACCCAAGCTTGTCCCCCGCGGCCGCTACCAGTTCATTGTAGGCAGAGGGGCTGAGGGGGTCAGCAGCGCCCGTGGACAGCGCATACGCAACGAGCGGATTGCTACTGTAGCATGGCGGCGCATTGTCAAGATGACTGCTCGCAACGCGGATGATGATGGTCATGATATCCAACGTGTTGGTCATGTACGCATCTTCACGCTCAGAGGTAGTGATCGGCCAGAGGAACTCGCGTCGGAACCTATCCGCGTGGGTCAGTAGCTGTGACATGGCGAATACGTGTCTTGAGCGCTGTGGTTGGAAAATTCCCGTTGTTGTTGGGCGATGGATTGTCAAAGGAGAAGGTTGAAGTTGTGGTGCGACGGGAGTTAATGTCGATGCAGGCCCGCATTTGTAGGTACCTGCATAAATGCCACCGGGGCTGCAGTGTTCTGCAACCCGGCCACTGCCAAGGCGGGTGTTCGTCCGGGGGTCTCAATCTACACCGCACAGCACACGCGGGCCGCTGTTAGTGCCCGTCTTTAGTGTCTGCAAACTTTACACCTGTCAATCCACATACAAAAATACACGTTTGCCCACGCTTACTAAACCCGGTGTAAACCAATCTATTTGCTTATTTCTAGTATCTACAAACTTTGCACCAGTTACTCCCAGTACAAAATAAACGTTTGCCTACACCTTTAAAACCCGCTATAAAGGTATTTATTTTCTATACAAGTTAGTGTATGCAAACTTTGCACTAGTCACTCCTAGTACAAAATGAATGTTTGCACACGCCTTTAAAACCGCCTTACAAACTTTGCACACAGCGTTGCTCAGCACTTTACATCGTAGTGTCGCACACGTAGTACACTTAAGGTAGTCGTTGGGCCGAGCACCGGTCCTATTATACGATAACTCGAAGTAGACGCGGATATACAAAATATTCGATGCGTTCAATTTGGATCTTCTTGGTCAGCATGCCTGGCTAGTGAACTATAGTCACCTTTCTAGTAGAGGAGTATCGCTGTCCTCACAAGGCATGAATCTAGCTACCTAGTTTGTTCGCTTGCACGGGATCATATGCCAATCTTGCGTCGTTGCCGAGACCTCTCTTGAGTGCGGGCGCCGAGTCGCGGTCTTGCGGGGCTTTGCTGTGGTTCTGTTTTTGAGGCTGTGAAAGAGTAGAGTTTCCCTTGAGAAATGGCACGCCGAACATACCATCGCCAGCCTTCACCTGGCGCTTCCGGGGAGCAACAACACCCGTGTTAAAGGGGTCATCAGCGATCGCGGCACCGACTGCCGCCATTTGCTGCGGCACCGGGGATCGAGTGTCAATGAACAACGAAGGAGAGCCGAATCGAAACGGACCAGATGGGCCACTACTCAACGAGCGAGAACTGCCTTGTGCCGGTACTTCCTCCGTGACCACGGGCGCAGATGGCACTTCGTTGGCAAGATCGACCGCATTTGACTGTTCGTCACTGGTATTGTGCGTCTCTTCATCCTTGGTCGGCGGCTCGTGGATCTGAACCCAGGTATTGGCCAAGACTCCACCGGTCCCGCGAGCCTCTCTTTGAATGGACATTTTGAAAGCCTGGCTCTGCCATGGTTCTGTTCTGGAAAAACACGTTAGTTCGAGAGAAAGTCTAGCTTGAGAAGAGTCTGGTGTACTGCTGTAGCGTTGCGTGACGCTGTTACAACTATTGCTGTTGAAACAAGTCTAGAGGTAGTCAAGTTGCCAAATGTCGTGGAGGGGTTGTTGTGCGCGGGAGGAAAAAAGTGGAAAGCTCTGGCCGAAGGCCCATGAGGACTGACTGCGGGAGGTGAAAGCTCGTTTGCCGAGTCGGGTTGACAGCATGTTGCTCATGCAGGTGGGTCCAATGCCATGTTGTTAGCGTTCGTTCGCTGTAGGCCTCTATATAGTGGCCTGTACTATCACTTACACATTCGTCTCTGGCGATCCAAGTTCCGAGACACATTACACAGGTACTTACCTCTAGGTATTCACATTACAAAGCACTCGCAATATCACTACCTTAGTATTGTATCTTTTGATTTGACTACATAGTTAGGGACGACTAGTTCAAATTTCTAGAGCCCAAGGGGAGTTCGACGGTCAGGCTGGCCATAACTTGTCGACCCATTTCTTCAAGCTCTCACTAGCATGCGGCAGAGAGAGTGGATTTTCCTCAATCCATTGCTCAACATACCGGCGCCCACCCCACTCAAGAAACTTGGGGACCAAGTCGTTCAGCACCTCCCGTGTGACATCCAGACCTTGCTCGGCATAGTCCTTGAGGAAATATATGTCGAGATCGTGATTTTTGTACAAAGCGGCCCAGACAAGCAGCTTCGAGTACGGCACGGAAAGGCCGGACGACAGCTTTTCGCAAACAGTCATCACTCGCTGGAGAGTGACATCATCCAGGGCCATCTCGGCGAGCAAAACCGCCGTCGCAGTTGCTACCCGAGCCGGAGGCATATGTGATCGTGTCTTGTACAGATGGTGCCGGTCGAACGTTATTGATATAGATATTCCGGTCGCGATTCGTAATGACTTTGCGCTTGGTGGGAGGGACGAGTCAGTAAACATGGTTCTATGATGATTTGTGGGGGGATACTCTACTAGCAAAGCGAGACAGTGTTAGTAGGAATAGTGGAAAGTCAAAGGCGACTTACAGGTACTATATTCCTCTATATAGCCGAAGCTGCGCGAATAACCACTTGTTAGTACATATCCGTTAAAGCTCGGCAATATGTAGCCTACACTACCACTTACACATTAGCTCGTAAACTGCAAATATAATTGGTCGCCCGGTAAAAGCCACTATAAGGTTTTACACTAGCCTTTTAGCGGGAAAGCGCGCACAGTGCAAAGGTCGATATTTAGTGTGCGCAGCTAGGTGCAAACTCTTGCACCGACTTTTGAGCGTAAGAACACGTATATGCAAAAGTGGGATAACAGGTGTGTGCAGCCAGGTGCAAACTTTTGCACCTACTTTCAAGCGGGCATGTCCGTACATTGCCCGCATTTTAGACCTATAAAGTTTGCAACTGCTCCTGCAAGCATAAGACGAACGTTTGCCGCAAGCTTAAAACACCAACGTTAATAGGTAGACATTACGCGATATCCAAACTACGGCAAGCTATTTCAATTAGACGTTACAAGACCGCATATAGTCTCCCTATCACAAAGTACAGATTACAACGCAAATGCGGCAAACTTCACATTAAAAGGGCACACAATGCACTACACCGACATCTTTACCATTTCCAACTATCGTATCTACTTGGACGCAATCCACCAGGGTCCGCCACCGTTCAGCTCATCAATCCCAAACGTATACGTCGTGTTGTCATCGTTTCCAGTGAACCGGATCGATGCATTCTCCACGAGGACAATCTTCCACCGTTTGCCCACCACGACACGAAGGTTTCGGTCAGCAAAGTTAAGCAGGATATACCACCGCTCATTTGTACCCATGTCTCTGTCCAGGAGAACGCCAACCTGAGAGACATTGTAGTACATGCCCGACTCTTCTTGTTCACACAGGGCCCGTACATCAGACGGGCCTGACGTGATTGCGGTGACGAGTTTGGTCAACTGTCCACCAAAAACCTCGACAAGAGACACGATGGCCACCGCCAGACTTCTCTGGGTCATGGCGTTGGCGTACGTCAGGATCTGCCAGACTGACAACAACAGAGGGTCGTTCTGGTGGAGGATGTGCTCCTTGACCATGCGGACGACCATGTTGGTGATTTCCACGAGCAGCCCTCGATAGATCCTTTGTGGCTCGTCAATCATGTCTGTAAGTAGATTGGAGGCATGAAGGAGAGCCAGATTCATCCAATCCATGCCATCCGGACGAGACACCAGAACTGCGTAGAGAGACAGGCACGAATGCAATGTGCCGACCGAATCCTGCGAGTAGGTCGATCGTCCGTTTCCCCACGTGTCTTCAACATGCCAGAACTCGCGGACGCCGTCATAGCTGTCGACATCTCCCTCAATGGGCGAGACGGCCAGATGCAACACTCTGATCCAAGCGTCCATGGCAAGCCTGTATCCCGTGTAGTCGTTGAGGAACGCTACACAATGCTCGACATTAGCATGGAGCTCGTGATACGATGTGGTCAGCTTTTGGGCTTGATCTTGCAAGCGTCTGACAGAGGGATCAAGGTCCTCTGTTGTTACCAAGCGGTCACCTTGGTTGACCTTGGTCAGGGCACCTGTCAGTCCCGAGACCTGACTGACGAGGTCTCCTGCTTCCTGCTGGGCTTGGTCGGCTTCATCGCGAGACTCGTTGCGCTCCTTTGTCAGACGGCGTACCGTTTGTCCATATCCGGAGCAAGCGTGATTGAGCGCATTGACCTGAGCTCGAAGCCTCGACAGTTGTGCATGTAGATGGCTTTTGTCATTTTCCATCATGGTTGCTGCTTCATCCATGTCTATCATGGACCTACCCTGTTCGTCGTTTTCCCTTTGCAATGCCCTGTTCTCAACGATTAGATCCTCAACTTGTCCTTGTAGTTCAAACGACTGCCTGCGATAATCCCTTGCATCAGCACTGGCCTCATCGAGATCCTTCTGAAGCTTTTCAGCATTCTCTGACTGTGTCTTGACCTTGTCGTGCAGTTCTTGACTAGCAGTCTGGGCCTCTTGGAGCTGCTTCTCGAGTTCGGAGGTACGCTCTTTTGAAGCAGACAGCTCCTTGATCTTCGCCTCAGCTACTTGGAGGTTAGCCAAGGAAGTAGCCTGGGCCTTTTCGAGATCTTTCTCGAGATCGCGGACACGCTCAGAGACTTCAAGTTGAGCCTCTTTGAGCGACTTCTCGAGATCGCCGACACGCCCTTCTGAAGTCGCCAGATCATCCTTCAACCGCTGAACTGTAGCCGTCTGGACGTCTTCGAGCTGCTGCTGAAGATTGGAGACGCGTTGTTCAGAAGTAGAAAGCTCCGTGGTCTTTGTCTCAAGATCCTTCTCGAGATTGCGGACACGCCTTTCCGACAGAGACAGCTGGCTGTTAAGACGCTGAACATTTTCGGCATGGGCCTTCTCGAGTTGGGAGACGCGATCGTTTGAAGCAGACAGCTCGGTGGTCTTCGCACCAAGCTGATTCTTGAGCTGGGAGACTTGGGTATTCACGCCCTCCAGCTCGCTCTTCAAGTCCTCCTTCTGGCTTGTCAACAAGTCAATGTCGTGCTGGAAGACGCGCTTGCACCAATCCTTTATTTTCCGGACACGACTTTTGTTCTCATTCATGACCTCCTGGCATTGGTTGAGAGTTTGGTCCCGAGTGTCCCAAGAGTTTTGAAGAGTCTGCTTGTCGGTCATTCTTTGTGCTTGGAGTAACTTCAACTCCTTATCCAGCAACAGCTTTTCTCCTTCCAGGCGAGAGATCGTATCTCGAAGGCTCGAATCGGATTGTTCCGACTGCAGCACTTCAATTCTTTGCTCAAGCTTGCGGGCTTGGCTGGTAGCCTTTGTCTCGGCCTGCTTGAGCTGTTCTTGCGTCTCTTTCACCTTTGTCTTTAGTCGCGTATTGTCCGTGACAGACTTTTCCAACTCGGCCTTGAGGTTGGTAATCTCTTCGTTGGCTTCTCGGATTTCATTGAATACGTCTTGTTGCGTATCAACTTGGCCGGTCGCTTGACCGTTGAGGTGTCGCTTGATGCGCGTCTCGGTATCTTTGTCAATGACCTTTTGTATGATGCCATCAGCTAAACCCATATCGAACAGTGTAACCGCAAACTTGGCCTCCTCAGGTGTGATGGCGATGGTCTCGATCTCCACATTGTTCGTGATCGTTTCCATCCTGTGCTTGGTCTCTCTGTGCGCCTGCTTTGTGTAATTGTCGAATCGGTCGATTTTAGCTTGCACCTTGGCCGCCTGGCTCAAGATGCGGCGAGTTTCCTTTGTGTCCAAGACGACATTGTCATCAACTTTCTGCTCGGTACAGAAGTCATTCCAACACTCGTCAATGCCATCTACCGTTGCGCGGCCGGTTTGCAGCACCTCAGTTGCCTTTTTGACAACGGCACTCAAGTCCTTGGTGGCCATAACCCCCAACCGGTGTAGCGAGGCATCGACGGGCATCTTGACGGTACCTAGAGGTATTTTTTTGTTGAGTGCGGCGTGAAAATGGGCAGGTAGAGGTAGTTGAAGAAACGTTGTTGTGCGACAAAATGTAAGGTATACCTTTGAGTGTTTGGGGGGAGGGGGAGTGTACTGGGTCTCGTCCCGTTTTCGTCTTGCCCTGACGCGTCAGTCTTCAGTCGGCAAACACGCGTCAAAATTACCTCTACGGACGCGTACCGCTGGATCGATACCCGTTGAAGGGAAGGTACACGTACAGCCCTCAGCCACATCTCTACCTTTACTTCACGTGCCCTAGACTTTTACAAATTTTCAACGGCTGAATCCACCCACACCCGACACACACACAGCGCCTACAGGATCATCACCATGGAAAATACGCTGGTAGGCACTCGCGACTTGGGACACTCCGAGTTTACGACGACGTGGCGAACGCTGTCGGAGGAACCCACCACCCAACGACCGCTTGTAGGGCCAGAGCAGAAGCTCATGATCCAGGCTTTGACAGGAGCATACAGCTCCAACTTTAGCCTTTGCATATGTCTGCCTGATGTCATGAAAATCAGCATCAAAAACCCGGCAGTGGTATTGCACAGTACAGCAAACTCATTGGCTGATGATATCAAAGAGGGCAGAGAAGAATACGCCGTCTTGCTCCACGCCATCCCAACTGGCCTGCGCGACTCTTTGATTCAAGGGACACTGGTACATGACTATGTCACAGATTCAGTCAAGTATATCGAAGAGCTAGGCGACCGTGGCACTTTCCCAGGGGTGTATGCTGTTGGCATTGCCTTCCGCCACCGTTATACAGCTGAACGAGGCGCGTTCCTGAACTATCGGGAGTGCACCCAAGTCATCAGCATCCTTGAAAACTACGCGGCTGCCTACCGCTTGTTGGCCACCAGTCACGAAGGCTCCCAGTTGCCACCCGAAGCCGAGCAAGTCATCAAAGACGCTCGCGAGCTTGACAAAACCTGTGGATATCCACATGAGGCCGTTGAAGATGCATCAGCTGGCACTACACTCCACTATCTCCCAACGTACGGTAGTGCAAACATACACAAGCTGGAGGTATTCATCGAATCCTTCAAGAGACGAGCCAAGGCTCTCCAAAAGCTTGACAACACAGGCAGCACGTACATGCACCAAGGGCCTCTGTACGTAGGGTGCACTGCAGGTCAGATGTCTGAACGCATGAAGCAGCACCATTATGAGCCCTCCATGCCCGCCTTGCCAATGAAGAATATGTTCTTGGCTCTTACTATGGGCGCCCTGCTGCAGATTGGCCTCAAGCCATATACTGTTGGAGTGCCCATCCTGCCCGTCTGGGTGGGAGAACATCTTCCCTTGGCTGAAAGACTGGTTACCATGCTTGCCAGCTCGCTGATATCCCAAGACGGATTCAATGGCATTCAGGCTGGCTCGAAAGCGGGCCAAGACTGCGACGAGGCGGGTCTGTATGTTGCGGAAGAGACAACATACTTTAAGAATAACCTGGATCGCACATTGGCTGACGCCGATCAATTCTTCACGGATACCGAGGGCGTTGACCACTTGAGGCAGTCTTTGCAGTTTGTCAAGACAGGCGAGCTCGAACGCAAGCTCAGTTCCATTGAGCTGTTGCTCAGCGAGATGGAGGAGAGCACAGCTATGCTCAAGCAGATGGGGGCGCGATTCCAAATTGGTGCAGAGCTGCGCCAAGCACAGGAGCGTCATCGGGCCATCATCAAGCAATACAGGTTCAACAGCACCTTTGTCAAACTGTTGCGAAGCATGACACGTCGGTTGAACCTTGATGACGATACAATCTTTGTCGAGGCTAGCAACCCATGGCAGACAGAAGATTAGCACACCTATATAGTTTGAATCAAAGTAGACTGTGTGCCCAAATTCGACCTGAAGTGCAAGTGTCTAATTGAAATAGTCTGTTGTTTGAATATCGCGTGATGTCTAATTGAAATAATATGCCGTTAAAAACTTTGCACCTGCCAGCTTGCATTCAAAGTTAACCTCTGCAACGCACTTTTAAAAGTTAGTGCAATGTACGCCCACTCCCGCTTAAAGGTTGATGCAGACTTTACACCTAGTAACTTGCACTAAAAATTAACCTTTACAACGTACGTACTCTCTCGTTTAAAAGCGAGTGCAATGCACGCCCACTCCCGCTTAAAAGTTAATGCAAACTTTACACTTAGTAACTTCTACTAAAAACTAACCTTTGTAACGTATATACTCTCCCGCTTAAGCGCTAGTGCAATATGCGTATTTCCCTACTTTACAGTTGATGCAAACTTTGCACCTGCCAACTTCGACTTAGAATCAACCTTTGCAATACACGCGCTTAAAAGCTAGTGCAAACTTTGCATTCGACTACACACACCAAATATTCAACTTCACACCAGCAGTCCAACAGCCAACAAGGCCCAAACTCCCACCCCGAGCAACGTCGTCCTCGAACTTGCCGCGTTGTTCTTCACTTGGCCGCCACTAATATACCTCGAAATTCCAGTCTTAGCCCGTATACAGTGGCTCATTTGGTCAAGAACCGCACCTTCCTCGAGCTTCTGCCCATCTCGTGTTTTGAGAAAGGAGTCTGGAATCAAGCACCACAAGACGCATCCTTCAAACCCGTAATCGCCACTGATATGCACCTCGTTGGGGGCGCAGCACTTGGTCATGCCCACAAACGATTCGTTCCAGTTGGGAATAACGAAAACGCTGCGGTCCATGGGTAGACCGGGGATGCCTTGGAGGTCGGGGAGGGCATCGTGGTCGCACGTGCGGTTGGCGGACATTTCGGTAGTGGGTGGCTGAATGGTCTTGTTAGTTTGTATTCTACCAAAAACAGCCGTTGGACATACCGGATGGTCCTGCAGTGCTGAAATGTGGCAGCTTTTGCTCAGGAATCGTGACAGCAAATGATGGTCGTGAAATGCAAAGCAAAGGGATGATGTTGGTCTAAGGAAGTGGACTACATATAAAGATTCTTACCCTAGTCAAAGCCAAGACGTAAGGCGTATTAGTGGGCACTAATTGAGGCCATGATACTGGGTTGACACTGGCTTGATTCGATGTAGTATTGACAAGGTGCCGGTGTAACTGGGGCTTGGTACCCTTGACTCTTGGGCAGTGACTGGTTCATGTCTTTATCCATAGCAACACACAGCCCTGGTATCTGCACGGATCTAGAACCGACCCAATCGACTGGAAACGACTATAAGCACAGCACAAAAATGGACCGTTGGCGCCAACAAGCACTTGGCTGGATAGCCTGAATGCCATAGGGACTTCTCGACCAACCACTACGTCCGGAGCGATATCACCTCAGGTCAACTGATCATAAGAGAGGCACAGCCGGTGCACAAAGTTTGTGTGATGGTAGAGGTTAAGAATACACGTTGGTATTTGGGAAGATGGGGACATGCGGTTCGAAATAAAGCTTCGCTGTGCAGCAACACCCTTCCGCCTGCATCACGATTATTGAGAGATGTAGATCACTCGATCCATCGGTTTGTACCAACTCGCGACCATACTCCAAGCCCCCATGTACATCATGTCCATCTGTTGGACTGTTGTGTATGTTATTGGCTGGGCAGCAATGTCCCTTTCGTACCCTTTGCAAGCTTTCGTCCGCCGTTGGTAGGGCTGACCATTTCAGGATGGCAAATGTATCGGTGGATCTGGATGGTATGCATGTCACTGGCGAGCACTCGTGAGGCTGTTGTGCAGTTCTTTTCGGTAAATAGATTCCTCGGTGTCAGATTTCAGAGGACTGGTGGGAGCCCACGCCTGTTGGGCTAGCGAGCAGAATCGGAGACGACTGGCGCGAGCTTCCCTACTGGGGGAATGCCTTGAACCTCGGGTGCTAACGTCGACGGTGGGAGGAAGCACGTCCGTATGGATATGAGCGCATAGTATATTTCGTGGTTTGCCTTCGAAATTCGAGCGCAAGCTTGGGTTTAGACCTCGGATATTTGTATGTGTTCGGTTGGGATAGGAGGATGACCGGCAGTGTTTCGAGATGACAGGACGAGATCGCACATGCATACAAGCATGGCAGTTTGCATGGCAGATGCTTTGAGCGGGTCACTGTTGTTGATGCTGGTCAGTACCTGAAGCACAAAAGAGCTGAAGAAAGGTGGGAAGCTTGCTCTGGAAGATATACCTACCTCGGAAGACTGGCATGGGAGGCAAACGGGACCATAGCCGTGGATGTCTTGCATTTCCTCACCCCTGATTTCGACCTTTTGTAATTGTGCATGCAAATCTTTCCCGGGTCCCCATGTGTGTCAAGTTCCACGGCAAAATCGACGAGCTGAACAGCCTTTGTGCATCTTGGGTTGTGTTAGGGCTGTGTTGACAAAAACATCTGGCAACAGGTGAAGGGCGACGGACTGTCCCATACAGCCGAGTGGTTGAGGATGTGGAGTGTTCTTCTGAATTTGGTATCGGGCCGTAGTCGGAGACGATTGCGCGTTTGATCGTGCTACTGGCTAGCGGAGTCGGGGAGCAATACGATGCTGTGATGGGAAGCAAGGTCAGCATAAACCCACTGGACCAAAAGGGGAGACGGACGGACCGATATGTAATTGATGATTGATCAAAAGATTAGGATAAATGATTTACCTGAGATGCCTGCGCGCATGTAGAAAGACATTCTGATGCCGGTCGGGGACGATTGACGCAAGCAAACAAAGTGCAGAATGCATGATGCAGGAACGACTGGCATTCGCAGGAAGCAGAATGCAAGGAACATCGAATCAAAATGCGCTATATAATTCATCATTATTCACAATTGCAATACTCACTCATCATCCTTTGAATCCTTACACCTCATTCCCTTCCCCTTTACCGGCGCCTTGTCATGCTCAATGCCCGCACCGCCCTTCTTCTCAAGCTCATCCAACTCCCTTTGAATAGCCTCTCCCACTTCCTGATCAACCTTACTAAACATCTCGATTGTCTTCTTTTGCACCTCCGGCAACGCCTTGCCCACATGCGCCGCCACGTTCTTGGCAAACCGCTTGTCTTCTCCGGTCTCCTTAAAGATCTTCCACAGATCCCTCGGCTGCTCGAAATCGAGGTCGGTCACTTCCGAGGTGAACAAGGCAACCTTACCGGCCCACTCGTCGTGAGCGATGTCAGGAGGACCGAAACGCATGGGACGGAAGGAAGACCGCACATAGTCCGGGTCGCCACCATAGTTACCGTCTACGCGCATTGGACCGTCACGCTGGTACGGTGAGTATACGTGCAGGGCGCGGTTGCAAGGGAGTTGTTGGTAGTTGGGACCGACACGGTAGCGGGCGGCATCAGGGTAGGAGAACATTCTAGCCTGGAGCATGGGGTCCGCGCTAGGGCCAATGCCAGGGACCATGGTGGAGGGGGAGAAGGCGGCTTGCTCGATATCCTGGAAGTGGTTTTCCGGGTTCTTGTTAAGCCTGAGTTTACCGATGGGACGCAGAGGATAGTCCCGATGCGACCAGGTCTGCGTAATGTCAAAGATGTTGTACCGGTAGGTTTCGACGTCCTTGGGGTCCATGACCTGGAAGTACATGGTCCAAGTGGGGTAGTCGCCGCGCTCGATGGCATTGTACATGTCCTTGATGTGGTAATCGGGTTCCTCGCCGGCCAGGCGGAGGGCTTCATCGGACTCGAGGTTCTTGATGCCGGCGTCGGGCTTCAAGTGGATCTTGACGTACTTGAACGTGCCGTCCTCGGGCTTGCCGAACTTGTAGGTGTGGTTGCCAAAGGCGTTGACATTGCGGAGAGAGGCGGGGATGCCACGGCCGCCAAAGAGCTGCATCAGGCAGTGGACGCCTTCTTGGTTGTTGTTGTGGAAATCCCAGAACATGGTCGAGTCGGGCACGTTGGTCTGGGGGTGACGCTTGTGGGAGCGGTTGAGACTGGGGAACTTGACGGGATCGCGGATGAAGAAGACGGGCAAGTCGTTGCCGACAAAGTCCCAGTTGCCCTCCTCGGTGAAGAACTTGACAGCGAAACCGCGGATATCACGAACCGTATCCGCAGAGCCCTTCTCGCCCGCCACCGTGGAGATACGGGCCAGGACCTTGGTCTTCTTTCCGACCTTGTTGAGGAAGTCAACAGACGTAAAGTCCGAGACATCTTCCGTGCACTCAAACTCTCCCCAGGCACCGGCGGCCTTGGCGTGGACGACACGTTCGGGGATGCGTTCTCGGGGGAAGTGTGCGAGGGTTTCGATCAACTGGGTGTCTGCGAGGAGAGAGAGGGCTCCGCCACGAGGCTTCGAGCCCATCAGGACCGTGGCAGCCGAAGGGTCCTGGACGGGGCGTCCCTCGGCAAGTGTGTAAACTGGTGCGTCGTTCTGGAAGAAGTCGAGGTCAGTATGGGCGGATCTTCAGGGGTGAAATGAAAGACAAACTTACTGAAGACATGATTGCGATAATGGTAAAATCTGGCGTGGGATACTATGCTGAGACAACATCCAAACCTCCCAGATCACGGCTGCTGTCTTTATATCGGGTTGGATGTTGACATCGCCATGATTGTCTCCATGGTGGTGACCGGTGGGTCTCCTATCGCGACTGGATACCATGACATCACCACTTGCTGGAACCCAACTTGCACACGCACAACGTCCGACGAAGGAGAGCATACACGCGACATCCGTGGTCTCCGGGCCAAGGCAATTGCACGAAGGTGCCATGTTTGTGGATGTAGTGTAGTGGAGTGGATTATCTAGTTATGTGTTGTCCATGATGCTGTTTGGTCCTTGATTCGAGTGCAATGTTTCCTTTGTCAGCACCGTTTTGGGGTTGCTGGTCCATGTGGAAAAGTCAGGGCCCTGTTTGCCTTCCATTGCCAACATCATCGGAGGAAACCGGTGCGCTGAATCCTCAGATATCGTGAGAGCGGTTGCTACACATCACTTGGGTGTAACCAGATTGGAAGTGTAGAGACTCGAGACATGCTGTCGACATTCGTGTTGGGGATGTTGCAGTCACTTGGCTGGCGTCCATCTAGAGCGACCAGAACCCGAGTGGTCTGAGGTGGTGGCAGCAAAAGCCCATCTGGAATGATGGAAAGGAGTGAAAGCCCAGCATACAAAGTCGGCACGTCGTATTCGATCGCAATATATATGTTTCGCCCACTTCCAATGGACTCTTCTGCATTGTCAGGACAATAGTCGCGACCATTGGCTATGTTTCTCGTCGGCTGGGAGCGAAAAGGAAGGTGGGTCCTCAGAGATCGCATCTGACCGAACATCAAGTTGTCCGCGACCCTGTCGGCGTGGTCAGGACTGAATGCCAAGGAGTCATTAAACAGCGATCTGGGCATCAAAGACAAGAGCTGAGGCTCTGGACGGACACGACAAGACAAGACAGTCAGTGATGATGTGAAGATGTGAAGGACGCAGGATCCATCCAAGCAGCCAGATTAGTGAAGGGCGAAAGCTGAGCCACTACTCGTCAGGTGCGGGCACACTGCGCGGCACTCGGAGATCGGCGGAATATCGTCGACGTTGTTGCCGTCGGTGAAGAATGCGATATTTTCTTGCGAGAACATGCGCTGGCGAGTCTTGGTTTGCATGTAGTTTGATGATGTATAATCAGAAGAAGCCCGAGATGTTGAAGTCGTTATCATTCCCCACGAAATGTCATTTCCGAAGTGCATCCAGTCGCAGGTGTCGCTCCCAAACCGAGACAAGCGAGCGGACGAGACAGGCCGAATTGACCGGAATGACGACGCACGGCCGTGCAGCCGGCACGACTGTAGCCGCCATTGACCAATCACAGCCCCCAGAAAATTTTTGTCAGGGGGAAAAAGGCGGGGGTGGGTGTTGGATGCTGCCTTCCGCACGTGAAGACAGGCCTCCATGTTTTCCAGCCCGTGCTCCTCGCATTGCGTGATTGAACCCCGGGGGCTTCGCGGGGAGGGGAGAGGCCTGAAGCCTTTTGGAATTTCTGACA